CCTAAAAGAATCGGTTGAGGAGCTCTTCCAGCCCGCCAATGTTAATCTGTAATCAATCTTGGAATACCGGGGAAATTCCAGCAGACGGGTAGGGTGCTACTGGGCAAGCGGGATGACCCGGATAACTATTGTTCTAAAATTCAATCACATTAAATATGGTGAATTTCTAAAAATTTCACCTTACATTGATTAAACGTTATTCGGTCTTTGAATGTTGTCAGGGGCCAAAGCAGCTGGGCCCAGCTCCTGCCAGGCTCCCTGACTAACCTGGCTGGTAGACAAGAAGCGAGCTCTCCTGCACTCATCTTGTGACTGAGAGTAGCCGCATCCCCTGAATGGCTGCTGGTTTAGCAGCCCTACTCATAAGCCTGACACCCAGATCAGTGGCTGCTCAATGTGTACCATGCCTGTAGCTGAACTTGCTCTGCTCCTGCTCTGTTTCCAGTCCCCGCTCCAGCTTCGTTTCTGAACCTGCTGTGGCTCCAGCCCCCATTCCACTCCGGATTCTGATTTCTGGATTCAATCCTCAGCTCCACGTCTGGTTCCCCTTCTGGTTCTGGCATTCGGCTTCTGTCCCTCCAGTACTGACCCTCGGCTCATTCCTGGACTCGGCCCACCCTGGACCCAGCTCTAACTGGCAGGCCAAACTCTCATTTCAACCACTAAGCCTGACCACCCATGGCCTGGTTGGCTACACATATGCACCTGAGAACTATGATTAAGGAACTAGGAATAAGGAACCAAATTCAAGCCAGTGCCTGAGTGGGAATACGTATTCTGTGCTCCCAGGGGAGGCAAAAGTCATTGCTAGAAAAATCCCAGACTTCTCCCCTCCACCCTTGGAAAATTCCAAGGGACATTGTGATTTATAGGCAGGGATACAAACAGAGCCACCCAGCCAGCAGGCTCACTCCTCCTGGTGATACACAGTCTCATGTGCCTCTCCCAGGAGACGACATCCAGAGCTGATTAACCTCACGCTGTTCCACTCCCAGCATGTGTGACCCAGGCTGTCAGCCTCCCTGGAGCGACAGTTTGCGACTGATCCACTGATCTGATTGAAGGGTTGCTGGTGCCCTCAGCTGGAAATCTAGTCAGTTTCAAAGAGGGTTAGATGCAATCTCAGGTCCTACACCCGCCCTTCCCTTGCCAATTTCACTGGGTTTTGCCACCGCATTTTATTAATTTATTAAATAACATTTCCAATGTTGCCATCCCTCACTGTATCTGGTGCTGGATTTAAAAAAAAAAGCAAAAAAAAAAAAAAAGCTCCAGCTGCTGGAGTCCTGTGAGTACATGACAATCTCAACTTTCCTCAAAAAAGAAAGGGGGGGGAGAATAAGTTTCTAGTCCTCATATTTATGGAGAAAAGCTTGAAAATGTGACTCCTAAAGGCTCCCATGCCAGAAGGCAAATAGAAAGGACCCTGATGTTTATTATTTGGAAACAATTGATGCTTTTTAAGCCAATCTCATGATCTTTTGTGGGGGGATGACGACACTTGTGATTTTTTTTTAAACTGGGGTTGGCAATACTTAGGTCCCCCCGCTCTCCCCCGCTGTTCCTGTGTGAGGGACCCACACAACCAGCAGGGGAAATGGACCAAAAATGCAACATTGGGCCTTTCCTCATGCTCCCACTGGACTCATCAGGAGCAGGATCTATGGCCCCCAGAGGAATGTCAGTGGTCACTCACCCTCTTCAGCCAGGGATCTTGGGGGGCCCAGTCTGAGACACCTTTAGCTTGGTTTCCAGAGGTGCTGAGACCCTGCAGCTCCAGGAACACCAAGGGCTGTAATTATGGGTAGCGAGTACTTGAAAATCCAGCCCCGAGCTCTTTTGTACCTCTGGCCCCAAGAGCTCAATGCCTCTGAAAAAAAACCAAGGCCGGTGAAGTCTCGAACTGGACTCCCCAAAATTAAGGCAGCCTCAGGTAGAGTCAGCTTTTGAAGATGTTGGTATTTCCTCTCCACCGGGCAGTGGGGGAAGGGAGGAAGGACTGGATTGCTGCTCTCCTGCCATCTTCCTTCTGTGCCAGCACCATGAAGCTAAGCCCTTGGCACATGGTTGGCACTACGGAAATAAATTAATTCAAATAATTAATTAGCCGAGCACAGCAGCCCAAATTGCACATTTCAAATCCCATGCCAGCTCCAGACATCCCACAAGGGTGGGGGCGCTTGGCTGCAGGGGTTTCATTGATTCTCTGGAGAGAACCGTAGTCACTTGCAGTTACCTCCCCAGAGATTACCCGTTATTCAAGATTTGCTGAGTCCCCCTTCCCCTTGGCACCCCACTTCTGTCAGCAGCGTTCATACAACTGGCCACACTTGGTTCTCTGCTACAGGAGTTGAACAGGGACACAGAACAGAATCTGAGCCTGTGAGTCCGTTACTTTCAGTCCTTCTCTTCTCTCTGGTTTGACCCATTATTATGTATACTGCAGGAGCACCTGGGATCCCCAGTCACGGAGCACGACCCCATCATGCTGGGTGCTGTAGAGACACGGAACGAAAAGATGCCCCGTTCCCGACTGCGCTAGCTAGAGAGATTTGTTCTTCCCTGCTAATTCGTGTTCTTCGAAAGGACCCAGCTGCCAGCGCTGAACAGTGGGAGGCAGAGAGCGGAGCGAGATGTCGAGAGGAAGGCTGGCCTAGTGGTTACAGCGGGGATCAGCGCTCAGGGGACATGCGAGCCAGGGTAAGTCACGTCATATCGGTGTGGCAGCTTCCCCAGCTGTAAAATGGGGATAGCCCAGCTATTCAAGGACTTATATGGCCCCTGCCGCCGGGCTGTCCCCAAGGACAGAGGAAGCCTGTAGAGGGGGAGAGAGCCATGGAGAACCCCCTCATCCAGAGCAGCATCCTACAAGGACCATATGTCTATCGAACCTGCAGAGAGGGCTCGGTCCCTGCGCAGGAGAGAAAACAACCTCAGTCCCTTTCCATGAGTCTAAAGTGCTCCAACAGCGACCCCTCGTGACGGGATTTCAGAGAACCCAACTGCTGGAGATTGCCTGGCCTCTGACCACAGCACCGGCACCAGTCAGGGCTCCCCCTGCTGTTTTCTGGGCTCCCGAACCTAGGCCACATTTGGACGTATATAATCCACAGTCTTGTCTCAGCATCACCAGGTCCTCAACACCCAGGGCATGCTGAGGCCTGGTCTACACCACAGACCCGTACTGGTGTAATTACATCACTCAGGGCTGAAATCCACACCCCGAGTAATGTCGTGTAATGTAATCCACACCCCGACCTAACCCAGACATAGCTGCTGGAACTAGGGGTGTGGGGGGTGCTGCTGCACCCCCTGGCTTGAAGTGGTTTCCATCAGATACAAGCTCTACAGTTTGGTTCAATGGCTCTCAGCCCCCCCCGCTATACCAACTGGTCCAGCGCCCCGCTTGCACACAGCGCTGTGTCGGCAGGAGAGGCTCTCGGGGAGGTGGATTAATAAAGCTGACGGGAGAGCTCTCTCCCGTCAGCTTGAGCCTCTTCATTAAAGTGCCACGTGCGCCGGTGCATCGTTTTAAGTGTAGACGTGCCCTACATCTGAAACGATTCCGCTGAACTTTTGGATCAGACTGTCCTTGCAACCTTGCTTTTTGGTTGGCGGTCATAGAGGCTGGTATAAATGAGCGTCAAGCCCCCCCCCTTTAAGAAAAGAGAGAGGGTGACCATTTTACAAGGTAAAAATAAGTCCCTCACTAAAATATGCCCCCTTTGGGGGGTGGGGAAGCGGAGTTTGGCCAGAGTTCTTGCGTAATGTGGGAGAGAAATTCTTTCAGATACCATGGGGGTGGCTCCCATGTAAACACCTAGAGAACCAAATGTGTGAGACAGAATAGGAGAGAGAGAGGAAGCAAGAGAAAGGAGAAAGAAAAGAAGGTGGGAAAGGAGAAGCAGGGCGGCCTAGCAGATATGGCGCTGGAAGGAGAGCTATAGATTTCTAGCTTGGCCATTGACCTGCTGGGTGAAGTCACTTCCCTTCTCTGCACCTGTTTCCTCTCCCAGTCATTTGGCCATTTAGATGGTAAGCTCTTTGGGGCTGGGACTGTCTCTTACTTTGTGTCCATACAGCCTGGCACCCATTCGGTAGGGTGACCAGACAGCAAGTGTGAAAAATCGGGATGGGGGGCAATAGGCGCCTATATAAGACAAAGCTCCAAATCTCGGGACTGTCCCTGTAAAATTGGGGCATCTGGTCACCCTACCGTCGGGGCCTCTAGGTGCTACCACCATACAAATACCAAGAGTCAAGAAAAAGTTTTCCTTCCTGGTCAGAAATTGAAACTGAGAAGAGGCTAAAGTGTTAAACCCAAAGCCATCAGTTCTGGAGAGAGAGTCACCAACTTCTCTGGCGCTCAGAGCGGAACCCCAAGGCCTGAACAACGTCAAGGAATGCACCAAGTTTTCCATGGTTTCACTGCCCCTTCTTGCCAACGGGCGGCAGCAGAGTTCACCGAGAGGAACGGTTCTCAAACTTTTTTGACCCCCCCTCCCCCCGTTCTTTGTGTCTGCAGTAGTTTAGGCAACCACACACACACCCACACACCCCTGCCACACAAGCATAGCAACATGCAACCCTCACGCAATCTTACAAACAGCCTGGCATTGATTCAAACAGCACCAACGCGCCATTGTCCGAAGCGCCAAAACAAAACTGCGATGGCGGTCGATGCTCAGAGAGACATGTGCACACCGTGTTGTAGCCAACGGAGTCACGTACCGATGGCAAAGACTTAGTACCGTGCTCGGCAAGCATCACAGAAATCTGTCACAATCACAGAGCCACCGGCAGTCAAACACCCAGCGCCACCTGAGGACCTGATCTGTCTGGAGGAATCGCCTTCGCCAGCCATTCATTGCCTGGATAAAATGTGTGCAGTATGTTTTTTCTCCCCCCTCCTAAAGCTTCTCGTGCCACCCCCCCGAATACATTCTGTGCCCCCCCGTTTGAGAACCTCTGACCTAAAGAGATCGGCCCAGGCTAGCCCGGCCATCTGCGGGTTAATAATGCCGAGTGGCTCAAATTTGGCACTTTGGTCTCCCGTGAGACCACTTTTAACTGCAGCAGATACCCAACCTAGCACCACTCCACAGGCAAATCCCCAGCCACAGGCAGACTCTTCATCTTGCTCCATGCAACTAGAGGCTTTCAGCCATGCGGCCCAATCCTTCAGTCCCTACTCAGGCAACCGACTGCAGTGGGCAGTTTGCCTGATAACTCGAGGATCAAGCCCTTAAACTGCACTGACCAGGACCAGTTCTCTGTTACACGAGGGCAGGGGCTTAAAGTGGGTGGAAAGGGCCCCTGAGAATACTCCTTGTGCTGGGGGCCTCCTTGCTCCGTGGCTGCTGTAGAACAGGAATAAGGGCTCTGTACCACCTCTGCTTCCAGCAGATAGAGTGGATGTTTGCAGCCACAGAGCATTGCCAGGGTCCAGGGGGGCATGGGAAGCAGAGCATAAGGACAACAGCCCTGAGGCTGCTCTAGCATGCACCAGGAGCCAAGAAGTGCCTTGAACAACCCCAGAACTCAGGGAGTGCAGAGATGGCTTAAAGCCACCTTAAAAACACCCGGCAGCCCTGCCCCAAGCACAGGAATGGAGGAACTGAGACTCAAACCCACAACCCAGCCATACCTCATCGGGGCAGGGACAGAGCTAGCAACATGAAACATGCATGCATACCAGCTGATCCTTCCTTTCCCAGTAGTCACCCTATAGCCTCACTATCCAGAGCACCTCCTTCTTGCAAGACCCAGTGTTGCAGCCCCTCTGCCTCTCCCTCCTCCTCTGGCGGTCTGTGCGGTGACCTGGCTCTCCAGCCGGGTCACACGAAAAGTCCCACGCCTTCTGGGGGAACAACGTCCAAACTCTAACTCTTCCAGGCTCAATCCTCCACAGACACTTCATCGCTCTCAAATGATCTGCCAAGGTCTTCTTCCCTGACTCTCAGGGCTTCTTCCCTGCAATTTCCTCTCCCAAGCCTGCTTTAGGAGTGGCCTTGTCCCCAGCTGCCTCACCTTTCAGGACTGTCCCAGGGCACAAGCTCCTTCCTGTAGGCCCCTCTGCGGTTCCTTTCCCAGAGAGCAGAAATCCCCAGCTACCTCTCTCCTAGGTCTTCGCTCTCTCTTGCTCTACAAGTCTGGTTCTCCCCACACTGGCTCTAATCCTTAATTATCTGTCTCCCCTCCAGGGGCCACAGAATGGGTTAATTGGGCCCGATCTTGCAAGGTGTGGCTTGCCCTCTCTCCGCATTGCAGTCAGCAAGAATGGACCCAGGAAACTGTCAGACTAGGTTGACTCTGCCTCCTACCTCTGATAGTGGCACATACCAAGATGCTTTAGAGAAAGGTGCAAGAACCCTGCTGCTGCAGGATAACCTGCCCGGGGACTTATCTGCTGAGTGACCACAGTCAGAATTTCCTTATGCCATGAAGCATGAGGGTTTATATCCCCCTCTCGGTAATTTCTAACATTTACTATTGTAACCCTAGATTTCCTGTACCAATGTCTCTAATCCCTCTTTTCATATCGCTGAACTGTTGGCTTTAAAGGCACAGTGCGGCAATGGAGTGCCACAAGCTAATTGTACCTGTCGGCATGCGCAGGGTGGCCAGGCAGGACCTCTCAGGACCTGCTCACAAAGTGAGGCCCTTGCTCAGCCACTCAGCAGGTGCAGTTAGACAAAGATTTTGTAAGATAATCTAATGTTTTGGGCACCATAAACCATGTTGCTTCTAGGAAACGAGAGGGGCGGGGTGGTGGTGGTATTGTGGTTGAGGCACTGGGCTGGGCTGCAGGGGGGTGATTAATATTGGTTTGTGTTACTGTAGCACCTAGGAGCCGTAGTTGTGAACCAGGACCCCCCTGTTCTTGGTGCTGTACAAGCACAGAACAAAAAGACAGTCCCTGCCCCAAGGTTTGATTCCCTCCTCTGCCACTGATGTCCTCTGTGACCTTGGACAAGTCACTTCATCTCTCTGGGCCTGAGTTCCCATCTGTAAAATCGGGCGGTGGGGGGGAATAAATACATTATACAAATAAAGCTTGTAAGGTGCTCTGGCACTAGGGGCCAGGTAAGTATAATAAATAGGGGGATGTTCAAAAGCACAAAGGGTGATTTGGTGCCTGACTCCCACTGAAACGGAGCTGGGGCGTAATTCTCCTTGGTGTCTTTGGAAATTTCCCCTCTAATCTCTCCTGGCTTCAGTTCCTATCTGGAAAACGGGGCTAATTAAACCCCCAGGGGAAAACTCATCTCAAAGAGAGAAATCCGGCCCCCCTACAAACAGTGATCACAACCCATTTTTCCCCTCCCCACTTAAAAAAAACAAAAGTCAAACCTCTAAAAACAAAACAAGAAAAGAGGAATCAAGCTGCTGTTGTCTCTCTCTCTGCACATTTGCCTTGCCCTGTGAAGTGTCTGCAGGTTAGCCTGCCACGCCAATCAGGAAATAAGTCAGTATCACATGCCTCAGCCCTGACAGTTAAGCGGGGAGCTAATGTGGTTGAACTGCTAAGGGAGTTGAGCCTGAGCTGGGCAGGCTGCAGCTACACAGGGGCATCTACGCCAGGCCAGAGATCAAGCTGTGGTAGATGGAAACAGAGAGAAAGAGAAATTGAACCCCAGCGGGGAGCGAAGAGACTGGGGATCGCCTGGGGTGGGACGCAAGAAAGATCTCGCTCTACCTTTGGGAAAGATGTTTTCAAGGAAGAAACGCGAGTTAATGAAAACTCCCTCCATATCTAAGAAGACCAGGGCAGGAAGCCCCATACCGCAAACCCCATCTGTAAGTAACACTGCATCCTCTTTCCCTCTGCTCAATGCAAATGTGAAAGGCTAGATGCAATGGGAGGGAGGGTGGCTCTGAAAATTACCAACTTTTAGGGCAGTGGTGGGAGGAGGGGGTGGGGGGGAAGATACCTTAGGCAATAGTTTATCTGTATGGAAGCTGGCTTTGAAAAGGAGAGAAGATATGATTAAGGGGGGTGGGGGATGAAAGAAATTAAGCAGCAGCAGCAGCAGCGTTGGGGAACGAAGCGAGGGAAATGATTATTAATGGGAGAGAGGATTTGGCATTCACGTCTATGGAAGGCAACTTTGCAGCAAGAGATCAATGAGGGAATGAGATCAAAGCCGGAGAAGGAGGAAGACAGGAGCTCATCTTTATTTATGCTACAGAGAACAAAAATCAGAGTTTGGGGGAGGCTATCTGGGGTCAGCTCTGGAAGGAGGGAGCAAAGGGGGACGGACAGGAGCGTGTGGATGTTTTTTAAACAAGCTACACGGGGTTCCAAAGCAGGCAAAAAGGGAAGCTCCCAGCTTCATCTTCCTGCGGCTTTGGAAACAACTGTGGTTGAGACACACACCCTGACCCACCTCAGCCCCTCCTTAGAAAGAGACTCAATTTAAAATACAGATTCTCTGAAGAAGGAATGGGGTGGGTCCCAAAGCCGTCGAAAACTGTCCAGCAGCTTCTTAAAAGGCAGTGGCTCTGTTTGCTCCTCCTTCCCCATCCTTCTTTCTGGGCCAGTTCTTGGGGGTTTGTGGATGGGTCCAGCCCATAGGCCCCTTGTGTGTAAGATCAGAGGATGCTGAGCAAACACACAACTGGGAAGAACAGCTACAGCCCGTACTCTGTTGAGCTCAGGAGAATGGCAAAGAAACACGGCTCACATGAGCATGCCCTGGACTCCCTCTCCTACAGACCAAAGGTGTGGCTGAAGGTAGGTGGGAACCCAGGGTCAAATTCTGCCTTCTGCTTCTGTCCTTGCAACTCCACCCAGGGGGCAACAGGGAAACAGGTGGAATCCAGCCCCATGATTTCAACTAGAACCCCTCCGGCCTCCTAGCCAAGCCTGTGAGGCATAATAAAGCTGCCACCAGACGGGGAACATATCACCCTGCAGTTGCCAAAGCAACAGAGTTGAGAGCCCATGGAGCCAGTAGCTTGTAACGCCAGAGGGGACTGCCTGGTGTTATCATGTCTCGCTCCTGGATAGGGGTTCGCAGGGGTCTGGAGATTCCTCTTGGCTCAGTTTGCCTGTCATTTATCCTTCTGGGATCTCAGAACTCACAGTCACCGCCAGCCTCCTGGGGGTTCATTTCTCATTTTTTGTCTCTAATTGAGCCTCGTGCAAAGGTCGGTGCCAGGGTTTGAGAGAGAAGGGCCCTATTTATCCACCGAGCAGCCAGAGCAAAGGCAGCAGAAGCTTCCCCACAGCCCTGCCCTGGAGGGACCATCTCTAGGGGAGAGGAGAGGGCAGCCCGCAGGCTCATCCAGTTCCTGGGCTCGCGGCTGACGCTGCCACCACGAGGCCCAGTCGCTACCAGCTGGGGTGGGTTTTGTCACGCTTGCTGAGACCCACCTGACCCATTTCACGCACAGGCTGCCGAACAGCCGTCTGATAGGAACTACTGAAAGTGGCATGGATCTGAATCACTGGCTTAGAGGTGGAAGACGCCACCAAGTCCCTGAGCCATGCTGTCCCTTATGGTTGGCTCTAGAAGGTCCTTGATCATATAGTGGTCTCATGGGGCTCTCCTAGGTAACTCCTGCTTTCCTTTTGTGTTGTGCTAAATAATGCGCCTTTGGCCAGAGAGAAGACATCCGCCGTTGTTGGCTGCTCAGCTAGGCTGGCTGGTCCTTTCCTTTCTGTAATTGAAACTGTTTCTGTTATCAGCCATGGTTTCTGATGCAACTCTACCCACAAACCAGACACGGTTGGCAGGGAATGGCTCATGGGTCTCCAGTCCACAGCGATGCCCTCCTATGACTTCTATGTTTATTACAGCCTTCTCCTGTCACTGACTTTGAAAGACCAGGTGTCTTTCCAGTACAGACACACTGACGGGGTATTTCATATGCAAAACCTGTAGAATAGGAAATGCCAGATAAAAGATGTAAGGGAAACATATCAAGCCAAATTCTCCATTTTACACGTACTAGACTCCCTGGAAGTCAATGGGACTGCATGGGAAGAACTCAAAGTTGTCTCTGGCCCATCACAAGCTCTTCCTCCAGCACCTACACACATTAGAACTGACTTGTCCTGCATTTGATCTGAAATCCCCTGTGGGAAGCCAACAAATCTTCTTTGAGGTGGGAATGGAAAAGCTCCCGTGGGGATCACGTGGTGACACTGTGTCACAACAATGCCACATCGCGTTACATCCCAGCATGGTGTCTTCATCACAGTGTGAGATCACGGCAAATCACCTACAGGGAACACTCTAGCCTGGAGGCAATGTCTGTCCTCTTGCACACCCAGTTGTGCCCGGGAGTTGGAGAACATAGTCTGAACTCTCGCCTTCTCCATTATCTCCTGGCTTTGGCCAGTTTGCCCCAGCCATACTCTTTAACGGCATTTGTGCATGATTACAATACAGTGTCACATACTCCGGTTCCTAGGCCAGACCCAAAGCCAAGGTGGAGGAAAGTACTCCAAATCCATGAACAGAATAACCTGCTCTATGTCGACGTTGGCACTGGGCGTCCAATGGAACCCCGTGTGACATACAATGACCTATTGTCAACCCACCTGGTAGAGGACAACCCAGTATAATGTAACGTGGTATAGGGTAAAAAGAAAAGGAGTACTTGTGGCACCTTAGAGACTAACCAATTTATTTGAGCATGAGCTTTCGTGAGCTGTAGCTCACGAAAGCTCATGCTCAAATAAATTGGTTAGTCTCTAAGGTGCCACAAGTACTCCTTTTCTTTTTGCGAATACAGACTAACACGGCTGTTCCTCTGAAACCTGTGGTATAGGGTGCTCAACACTGTAATTCCACATGGCAAAAGGGGCCCCGGTGCAGAGAGAGACACCAGAAGAGACAGTGGAGGAGAGATGACCAGTAACTGATATAAGCCAGGTTTCAGAGAAACAGCCGTGTTAGTCTGTATTCGCAAAAAGAAAAGGAGGACTTGTGGCACCTTAGAGATTAACCAATTTATTTGAGCATAAGTTTTCGTGAGCTACAGCTCACTTCATCGGATGCATACTGTGGAAAATACAGAAGATGTTTTTTCATGGTCTGTGTGTATAAAAACATCTTCTGTATTTTCCACAGTATGCATCCGATGAAGTGAGCTGTAGCTCACGAAAACTTATGCTCAAATAAATTGGTTAATCTCTAAGGTGCCACAAGTCCTCCTTTTGATATAAGCCAGGCAGCCAGCAGGGACATGGAAGAACCCAGCTCAGTGATCAGAGAGAAAAGTCTGTGGTTTCTGAGTTGATGACTGATGCTTGTGAAAGGTCCAGCAGCAAGGGCTGGTTACGTGTTGAAAGCTTTGGGGGAAGGTCTTAGGCAACTGAGACTGTGAAGGCCATATTGTATTTTCACCCCTGTGGGACTTTGCTTCTTGAGTTCCTGTGGGTGTTTCCAGTGGTGCAGGGGCTGAGCTTATAAAGCTCAGTGCCTGGCTGTCGCTGTGTGGTACAGAGCAGTGGATCAAGGACGCAAGTGGATCAGTACCTCAGGGTCTGGCCTAGTGGCACTCTATAAATCGAGAACTCTTTGGAACCTCATCCCAGTCTGGGCAGCCCCTCCAGAAGGGAGATGCTGGGACAGACAGTGACCTGTGAGCATCCCTAAATTATAGCCAGTGTTTCTACACATGCTTCCTACAGCACCTCCTGCTGGGAGGGCTGGATCAGAAGCAGCTGGGAGCTGTGCTCTAGTAGGGCTTTCCCAACTTGTTAAGCCAGTGATACTCAGAGCATGGCTTAGGAGCTGCATGTGGCTCTTGAATGTGTCTCCTGAAGCTCCGTGCAGCAAGCAATATTAAAACACAGCGAGATTTAATTATTAACCAATCTAAGTTATTAACCAATCAGGATGCTTTGATGACGTTATTAACCAATTAAGTTAACTTACTGTCTGTGAGAATAATATCTATAAATATTTCCCCTGCCATACTGTCTAAATAGGAATAGTACGATAGACAACGGAACACTGAATTCACACTCCTGTGGCTCTTTCGGGTAACGTTGATCGCTGGTTTGGCTCCTGAACCCCTGAGGTCTGAGTAGCCCTGTATTAGTGCTGGTGGGATCAAGACTGTCTTGTTCCAAGAATTCTGCAATCATTTTGTTGTATCGAAATTGTAATTCATCTTTGTTCAGTCATTTTGTGGTCTCAGGGGGGTCTACCCCCACTGTTGACCTGAATTCTTACTGGTGTCAGCGGGAGTTCCACACACAGGGCAAAGAATGCAGCTCTTATAGTTCTGAGAGGTGAATCATTTAAACCTGCCAACTTTTATTCGCAATTCAGTCATTTTCCTCTCCCCAGCTGAGTCACTCACTGTCTTCATCGTCGGAGACTGTCCCTCCATTGCTGGAGGAAATGTTCCTTCAATTCCTTAAGCCTTTTCTTGTTACGAAATGCAAACTCTGTAGCCGTTAATTGATGATAAGACCATGATCTCATTTACCCTGGTGAAAATGCAGAGTAACCCCTCCGGTTTCAGTGCAGGAGTTACACCAGGGTTCCTGGAATCAGAATCTGGCCCATTAACTCATTAAATCTCATCGCATCATTGTAAAAAGTTCCTAAATGGGGAAACTGAGGCACAGAGAGATTTTTTTTTTAAGTGACTTACTCGAGGTCACAAAAATAGTCAGCAGCAGAGCTAGGAAGTCCTGACTCCCAGTGCCCTTCTGTAACAACTACCCATAGTCCAATCTCAGGGCTAGGGATAGAACCCAGGAGTCCTGTTGCCCAGCCCTCCCGCTTGCCTTACCCACTAGACCCCACTCCTCTTCTAGAGTGGAGCTAGAACCCAAAAGTCCTGACTCCCTGTCCCCTGCTCTCACCCTTGCACTCCCTCCCCTAATTAAGATGAAGGTTCATAAGTGTGAGGACAGCCTTGGCAACCCCTGTGGGGCTGGTTCCTCCCCACTGGCTCTGGGAGGGTTGGAAGCCCCTTCCCTCTTGCCCATTACATGCTCACGCATGTTCTTGTCCCCTCAGGAGCTGCCCCGGAAGGACTGCCTGGAAGCGCCGAGTTCCAGCCTGGTGGACCTGTCCATGTCCAGCTCCAAGCTCAGCAGTAGCCCCAGCACAGTGGGCACGCTCAAGCGCCCCACCAGCCTGAGCCGGCATGCCAGCGCTGCTGGCTTCCCTCTGTCCCCTGCGGGCACCCGGGGCATCGCCAAGGGACAGAAGACCCCTGTCTCTTACAGCCCCATTGACAGCGGGGAGGGGACTTTCATTGATGTGGAGGACATCTCGCAGCTCCTGGCCGACGTGGCCCGGTTTGCCGAGGGTTTGGAGAAGCTGAGAGACGTGGTCCTCAGAGACGGTAAGTGCCCATGACCACCAGGGCCCTCCTGCTCCCAAGGGGACTTGTGGAATGTAAAGGCCTGGACAGGGGTTTCCATCGTGTCTGGTAACGAATGGGGCAGGGTAAGGTGGGGTAGAACGGAAGGCCCCAAGGAGCTCCCCGGCTCTGAAAGGAACCCTTGTGTCCAGGCAGGCCAGCAGAAGGCAGCCTAGGGCAGAGAAATAGCCAGGAACCTCGGATTTTCAGCCACAGCCTCTGATTTCTGGATGCTTCCATTTTGGGGGGCCTGATTTTGAGCCACCCTGGGACAGATTTCCCAGAGGTGCTGGGCCCTGGCAGCACCCAGTGACCTAGTTGGCGCTAAGCCCCTCAGACAATAAGGCCCAGGACTGAGAATGTGCCCTATAGAACAGGCCCTCAAAATCAGAGAAGGCTTTGAAAATCAGGGCGTCGCCTTGTTTGCACGGGGGGCTGGCAGAGGGGACACTGGCTGATTTGCCTTTGGCAACAGGACCCCTGCAGCCAGCACTTACCCATCCCACAGAAACTGGCCCATGGCTTTGGTGGCCTTGTGCATGCATTGGGGCTGATCCATGCCATGCTCTGGCCTCCTGGATCCGACATCAGCACTGGTCTTGTGCTCTGCTGCTCCCTGTGCCAGTCACCCAGCTATGAATCACACACACGGGTCACGGCTGCCTGTGGCTGGCGTGCTGGAAACGCTCGACCCCCTTCCCAGATGCTTGAGCTTGATTCACCCTCCAGAGTGCTGGGGATTGAGGAAGAAGATTCTGCAGGGTGGGAGAGGACAGGCTGTTTGCAGTGCATGGGCATCAAACCCTCTGGGAGTCCCTGTGCTCACAGGGGATAACGTCACAGAAATAATCCCAACGAGATCTCGCCTCCTCAGTGCCAGGCAGCCTGCCTCTCCCCCTCGAGCCTGGGCAATCCCACACAGGCATGCCAGTGGTGTCAGAGAGTGGATCTGTGCAGGGGACTGCCGGGAAGCAGGAGCTCTGGCATTCTAATCCTGGCTCTGACACTGAGCCCCTGAACATGCCATTCTCCTGCTCTGTGCCTTAGTTTCCTCAGTAATATTACTCACTTACCTACTTCCCAGGCATGTTGGAGGATTAATGACCTTAACAGACTGGAAATGGAAAGGGTTATCCAAGTGCTATGTAATAGTATCCCTGTTCCAGACTTGGGAGATCCCAAAGCACTTGGCAAAAGTTACAAACTGATCACACCGAGCTAGGGACAAAATACTGGTCTCCACCCCACGCCGAGAGAGGTGGTGTTCTAGAAATGCAGGCTGGGAGCCAGCAGCTGCCATTCTCCTCTGCACTTTGTGTCATTATGTAGCCCTGTGCAAAGGGGCTGTCATAGGTTCTCAGAGCAGACTTCTCTGCTCCCGCACACTGGTGGGAACATGAAACAACCCCACCGGGCCTGATTCTCCTCTCACAGACGTCAGCGTAAACCAGGAGCAATTCCACTGAACTGGCCAGAAAGCTGGGGCAAGGAGAATCAGAAGCACTTGCAGCAAAATGGGGGTGACGCTGACCTACCTTCTGGGGCTCATGGTTGGCTCAACAAACCCTCACTGCATAGTGCTAACTAGGAAGGTATCCTGGACTCATCCCGCACAGAGAACTCCCAGCTTCTCAGCTGATGTCAATGAGCCCAGCCCCACTGAAATCAATGGAGTCTCATCCCTGCCTGGGGTGAATGACCCCCACTCCATTGAACCCGCTGCGCTCAGGCGTGTCATGTGATTCAAGCTCTGCCGGGGCGATTGGGCGGGAGGAACTGTGCCCCAGCAGTGGAGCATAGCCAGGGGCCCTGGGATGTGTGATCTTTAATATCCTGGGAATGCCCCTCAGCTGCTCTCCCTAGCCAGCTGCACTGGTTCTGCTAGCAATCGTTCTGGTCATTTCGCCTCCATAGATTATGGGTGGGGGGGCATAACCTAGCCCCCAGCCAGCGTGAGCCAAAACTTCTAATTGCTCATCTGATCTCCAGACACCTTGTCTCTCCTCAGTGGATGCAGCCACCTCTGGGGTGGAAGGGACAAAGGCAGGCTGGTCCCAGCAGAGGTGTGGGGGGGGGGCAGAGCAGTGTCTGGGGCAGCTGTGAAGAGGAGAAGGGGGGAGGGAGCAGAGAGCAAATAGGCTAGAAAAGCAGCAGGCAGGGTCAGGCAGCACCTGCCGTTGAGAGTGGCAATGGGCGAAGGGAAGGGAAGGAGGGTGAGAGTGCTCCCCCCCCACTGGCAAGTCCGTGGCACTGATTGGACACCTGCCTCCAAAGATGCTTGGCTATGTGGGGGCGGGGAGCTCCCAGGAGGAAAAGGCTGTACACGGGGGTGATTCCCCAGACAAAGGGGTCCCCTATGGATCGGGCAGCGGTATGCTGGGAGGTGGTGGAGTCACCCAGAGTGGGAGAGCAGAAAGCCAGGGCCTGCAGCGCCCTGGGGGGATCCGGGCCCGACCTCCCCACGGTGGCCCTGCAACTGCTTTGCTCCAGCCTTTCCTTTTGGCCCTGGAGCTGAGCAGCGGCAGCTGCCACGCAAGGCAAGGAAGAGGGGTAAGAGGCAGAGCAGGGGAGGGGGATCTGGGACAGGATAACATGACTTCCTGCCTGCAAGCTATTTTCATCTGCCTGCCTTTCCTGTTTACTGCAGCGCCAGCGATGGCTGGTGGCACCCAGATAAAGCCCTTGGAGTGGCACTGGGCACATGCCTTGCCTCTCCCCGAGCCCCATTTGCCCCTGGGAATGAACCTGGGTTCCCAAAGGGCCGCTGAAAGCAGCTCTCTTCTTTACCAGGAGGCCAGGCTGGGGGCGGGAAGTGGCCCTGCAGTCTCTGCCCTATCCCTTTAAGAGGCTTCTCTCTCTGTAGGAGACAAAGGAAACTGTATATTTCCCGCACCCCTGGCTAGGGTGGGGCCCAGCTGGGGGTCACATGATGACTTGTTTTTTCACTGCCAGCCATGCAAACATGTTGACACGGTCCCTGTTCCAGTGGAAAACACCATCGGGAGGCCCCAGTGTGTAACATGGGGCGGGAGTCTCCACAGGGAGAGGGCGTGGTGACCCAGATTCAATTCCGAAAGGAGTGGGGAGGAACCTTGGGCCCAGGTCTCTCTCACCAAGGTTTGATTTTGGACCCCGTTTCCAGATGAAAGTCCACCTTGAAGTGTGGCTCACCTGGCATCCCCTGCTCAGCCAGCCCTGCGTGGTCCTGGTCACAACCGAATAAGGGTGCTTATGGCACTTGGATCCTGGCACGGTGGTTGGAGTGGGAGCCCGGTTCTGCATTGGGTCAGTGGGAGAAAAAAAATCCATGGGCCAAACTCCATGGAGCTACACCCAGCTACACCCGCAGCTACCAGCTGTGAATCTGACTTGTTAGGCTATCGGTCTGGGGGAACGGGAAAGGGGAATGGAAGGCGAAGGTCAAGTCGCCTTTGCAGAGTTACAGAGTACCAGCCGTGTTAGTCTGTATTCGCAAAAAGAAAAGGAGGACTTGTGGCACCTTAGAGACTAACCAATTTATTTGAGCATGAGCTTTCGTGAGCTACAGCTCACTTCATCGGATGTATACTGCAAATTGGTTAGTCTCTACGGTGCCACAAGTCCTCCTTTTCTTTTTGCAGAGTTAGAAACTGGGATTTCCATTCTGCAAGAAATGCCAACATTTTCGTGGGGAGGGGAAATTGTTCTGAAACGGAAGGACATTTCAAAATTTCCCACAAAACGAAATCCCCCCCCGCCCCAATTGTTTTGCGTCAATTGAGCTGTTTTGGTTGGATTTTGACGTTTAGGTTTTTTTAATAATCTAATATAAACTCCTCAATGAAAACCCATTTCAAAATGAAAATGTCAAAATGTTTCATTTTGATTCCCCCACCCCAGGCAATGAAATTAAGTCGAAATTGACGCATTCCAGCCGAAACCTTTGATTTAAACAAAACGGCAATATGTTCCGTCAGGAGATTTTCAACCAGCTCTACACCCATGAGAGCGGGTGAAGGGAGGGAGAGAGACTGGGCTCAGGGGGTCTCCGTGCGGGTTCTGGAGGAAGACTGATGATGCTGAGGCAGGATCTGGGTGTGCATGAAGGGATGCAGCAATGGTTGCAGGGGATCGCACCATTTTGGTGGATCCAGCCCTCCCATTACAGCTTTTTGTCCATCCCTGCTCAGCTGTGACACAGATCCCAGTCCTGTCCCTGTCCCCAGCCCAACACGGCCCTTCCCAGCCCCTCTGGCCTCTCTGCTTTCCATTCCGGACATAGCCTGGAAATGTAAGAGGAGACAGAGAATGCATAGGAAATCCCTTCCACCCTGACACTGAGATAGGGGGCTGGGACGGAGGGTTTGCCCACTCACAGCTGTCACTTTTCCACCAGGCTCCCTCTCTCCCCTCCCTGCTCTTGTGGATTTCTCTCCAAAGAAGGCTGCGCCATCCAGTCCCAGAGTCCCAGACGTTGGGCTTAGTCCCTGGGCTTGTCAGTGCTGAGGTCACCCCATCTCCTAGCATCCAGAATTGGATTAAAGGGATCAGCCAGTCTAGACTCACACCCCTTCCTTTCCTCCCACCCCCCCTTATTTAAGGCCTGCTTCCCGACCTCCTAGCAGCGCTGCTCATTCAGGGGAAATGCAGCCGCCCCACACCCATGGCAATGCAGCTCGTAGAGAGCCCCGCATAGGCACATGTTCTCACCAGGGACAAAGTCTGCTCTCAGTTCACCTGTATAAACCAGAGTGAGGTCAGTGGAGTTCCTTTGGATTTACACTGATGTAACAGAGCAAAATCTCAATGCAGAGAGCAGGCTGATAACAGTAACAATAGTGTTCACATATCCCCTTTCATTCAGGGATCTTAGAGCACTGTATGAACGTTAATGAATGCTCCCAGCACCCATGTAAGGTAGGAAAGCATGAATAATCCTGTGTTACGGATGGGGAAACTCAGGCACAGAGAAGGGACAGTGACATGCTCAAGGTCTTTCAGTTGCGGAACTAGGGAAGGAACCCAGGAATCCTGACTCCCATTCCCTGCTGCTCTAATTGATCAAACTCCATTCCAAAGCAGAGAATGGAACCCAGGATTTCTGAGTCCGGGTCCACTGCTCTAACCACTAGATCAGATCACATTCCCCTGTCAGAGCTGGGAAGAGAACTGGCTTTGTGTCACTCATGCTACACCTCTGTGCCTGGCATCTGAAGGAAAAGAAATGTATATGTTTTCACCCGGACATGCTGATAGCTTCCGGCACCCCAAGGGCAGAATTCTACTGCACCTTCTCAGTCTGTGATCACAGGGCTGAGGGGGCAGAAACAAGGGACGCTGGTTGGCAGCTTTATCTGGAGAGTCGCAGAAGGGGTTGGTTTCCTGGGGAAACTCCAAATATCCAACTTCCTTTCTTGCCAGTAAACAAACTTCCCAAGGACCCTGGAGCCAGTTCCCGTGCTCAAATAGTGAGCTGGGGTGCATGTACAGAGAGCAGCCTGCTTATTTGCTGCATCACCGATGGGTGGCTGAAAAAATCCACCCAGCAATTATCCTAAATTATAGCAATAATGGAAATTTGGCTGAGCAGGGAGGAGGCAACAAGAAGCCACTGGGTCCCTCCGGGCTGCGTGGCAGGGAGTTCACATCCGGGCAGGGAATGAAAGGAAAGGAAATGAGGAGGAAATTCTCAAACTGCTTTCAAGGGAAACCCGCCACCGAGGAAAAATCACTGGGGTCAAACTCCTCCCATCTCCCTCCTGCTGTCCCAGTCACACCACAGCCAGACATAAACTCTCAGGGCCTGATGCTCTGTTGTCCTGCACCTGGGTTGTAAAAACATCACGGCAAAGTGGATGGCCAATGCCAGACTGGGAGCATTTAACGTCCGCTTTGCACAGGTGTAAATGACTGCACAGGGCGGCAGAGGGTCAGATCCACAGACACTGGTTGTGTTTGCCAGACCCTCCCTCCTGGCAGGGATCTGTGCTCAGGTGTCTTGGGATACAGTGAACCACTGATGGAGACAGACAAGACATTCTCCATCTCTACCTACCACTACAGGGCTGTTCCCTCTGGTCCATTCTCCTGGGCTGGTGTGGCTCAGAATACCCCAAGCAATGGAGGGTTCCCAACACTTTCCTGTGGGGGCAGATCCACTTGTTTGGAGTCTATTTTTGTGACATTCACCTGAACTTTCCCTTGGGTCCATTTCATCTCATCACTTTGCCTCTGCCTTCCCACCACATCGTCTGAGGGGCTGGGAACAGGTGCAGAGGCTGGTACTGGCTGACAATGCAGTCAGCCCATGTATGGAATAATAGCTGCACGATAGCACTTTTCATCTACAGGTCCCAAAGCAAGTCAGTATCCTGAACCTATTTGAAACTGAGGCACAGGGAGGGGATGTGACCTGCCCACAGTCAGTCAGCAGGCCAGTGGTAGAACTGGGACAAGAACCCAGGTCACCTGTGCCCCTGTCCAGTGCTCTACCCACTAGACCACAATGCTGCTACCAGGCATTGTGCTCTAGTGCAGTGTGAGGCTGAACCAGCCTGGCGAGAGAGTGTTCCAGACCCCAGCAGGGACCGCCTAGCAGTCAGGCCGAAGACCAATGCTTTATGTGCCTCCCATGCTTTTCATCCAGAGGTCTTATATCATTGTCCAAAAGTAAGTATTGTTCCCACTTTTCCAAATGGGGAAACTGAGGCACGGAGCAGTTAAGTGACGTGCTCAAGGTTACCCAGAGAGTCAGTGCCAGAATTCAGGGGCCGGGTGCCCGCTCGCGCAGATCCTCAGCTGGTGCAACTCGGTGCAGCTTCATTGAAGTCAGTAGGGCTACGCTGATTTTTTGCAGGCCCCCCATCACCCTAATGTCTGAGCCCTGCCCGAGTCCCATGAGCCAGCCACTAATCCACAGGCCCACTGTGCAAGAAGCTAGAGGTTCGTCCCTCCCGGAATTCCCAGTGTTATCCTGAAGGCTCTTTATTCATCTCATCCCAGCACCCCAACTAAGCTTCCCCCCCCGACACACTCATTCCCCCCCCAAGATAGCCAGCCCCTGAGCGTTACCAGACGGACAAGACTCCTTAGGATGCTGCTCTGGCCTCAGGCCTTTAAACCCAGCCAGGGCTGGGATGCGGAGGGTCTGCCTTGGGAAGGACAGTTCTCAGGGAGGAGGGAAGATGCGTGAGCAAACTGAGGCAGGAACAGAAAGCTGAAGGGGTGGGTTTTAATGGGCTTGGAGATCAGTTGCTGGGGACTCTATATAGAATCATAGAAATGGAAGGGACCTCGGGAGGTCGTCTAGTCCAGTCCCGTGCCCTCATGGCAGGACTAAGAATTATCTAGACCATCCCTGACAGGTGTTGAACAACCTGCTCTTAAAAAGCTCCGCTTAACCACAGGAATAAACGGCCTAGGGAGGCAATAATGGGCTGGTATGTAATGAGGGAGACTCACAATCCCACGCACCCATGTTCGTTGCTGCTGGCCGCTAGAGAAGGATGCCATCTGGAAGCGCCATTCGTCTGTTGAGCATAGGGATCTTATGTCCTGTTTTGGCTGGGACAGTGCCTTTTTTTAGCCCTGTCCCGGCCGTCCCAACTTTTTGGGCAAAAGTGAGTGTTTGTCCCATTTGCTCTTGCTGACTTGATCAGTTGGCAAGAGCAAATGGGACAAATGCCCACTTTTGTCAAGAAAGAGGGGTGCAAAGGAACATGCGGGGGGCAGAGGGGCAGTGATGCCAGACCCACATGGCGGGGGGTGGTGGTGGCAGGGCTCGGGTGAGCAGCGACGCCAGCCCCAGCCTTTGGGCTATATGGTCACCCTAGTTGAGTATGAATGTGCCCGTTCCAACAGGGAGTAAGAGGCGTTGGCCGGGACAGTCTAGGCAGCCTTCCCTAACAGGAAAAAGAAAAGGAGGACTTGTGGCACCTTAGAGACTAACCAATTTATTTGAGCATAAGCTTTCGTGAGCTACAGCTCACTTCATCGGATGCTCACGAAAGCTTATGCTCAAATAAATTGGTTAGTCTCTAAGGTGCCACAAGTCCTCCTTTTCTTTTTGCGAATACAGACTAACACGGCTGTTACTCTGTTCCCTAACAGGGGGGATATTGGTACCATCCCATCAGCACAGAGGAACCCCCTTGTGGAACAGGAGCCTGCACTGATTCCTGTCTTGGGGGGACTGACAGCTGCTGAGCAGTCCAAGAGAGGGTGGAGGCTGGGAGAAGATACGGGCAGGCCAGAGACACCAGCAGGGGCTTCCTGGGCAGGGATACTCTGGGCAGGCTGGAGACATTGGTGGGGAAGCCACCAGTAGAGAGACTGGAGGCAATGATGTGACACAGAGCACTCCAGACCGCCAGCAGGCACCAGGCCCGTGAGCACAGAGTACATCTGGCTCCTTCCAAAGGTCCCATGGGATTAATCAGACAGGAAATGGGGCGTTCCCCCTGCCTTCTCACCCCCTGAACAGACTGATCAAGATGAGCTGGGTAGACTGCATTAGACTTCCGTTCCAATAGGGCGGCTCATCAGTGACATGAGTTTGGTAGGTTTCAGCCTCTCTTGCTCTCATAAAACCACTGCACAACTGGAAATGCCGGCTTAGAAGTAACTCCGCACTGTGACAATGGGTGCAGGGGCTACCAGTCAGGGTTCTGGGGTGTTAGTATAGGTGGGGGAACAGGACTGGAATAGCAGGGCTAGGATTGAGGTGCATGGCAGAGTCGGGGGGGCAGGACTGGAATAGCAGGGCTAGGATTGAGGTGCGTGGCAGAGGTGGGGGAACAGGACTTGAATAGCAGGGCTAGGATTGAGGTGCGTGGCAGAGTCGGGGGGGCAGGACTGGAGTAGCAGAGGATGGTGCGGGTCAGGCTGAGGCACATGGGCCACGGGAACTGTCTGTGTGTGGGAGCTCGCCTTGCCATTACCTGGTGCTCCTGTCCTCCAAAGCGCCCTTCGCCAGCACAAAGTTGACTTTACAGAACCAGCCTGTGTAGCGGAGACTGAAGGGCTGTAACGACCGCTTTGACCCCTCTCTGTTGCAGATCCCTTGGAGTCTCACCGGCCGCTAGCCCACGAGTGCCTGGGGGAAGCCCTGCGGGTCCTCCGGCAGGTCATCAACAAGTACCCACTGCTCAACACCTTGGAGACCTTGACAGCCGCAGGAACCCTAATATCCAGGGTCAAAGGTCAGTCCACAGCACCTGTCTCCTGCTGGGTCATGAGCACAGTGCAGGTGCCACCTCAAAGGCTCGGCAATTCTGCTCACCCTTCACTGCCTCCCTCCCCACTCGCCCCACCCATGCCCAGCAATTGGTGCGGACTCACAGACGCTGACCCTGTTCACAGCCAGCCTGGGCTGGAGGCAGATGGAAGCTGACCCGAAGGAAAGGCTCTTTGGGGCTGGGGTCAGGGCTGCAAGGACTCAGTGGTGAGGCCTCAGCCCAGTCCTTGGTTTGCAGATGTCCTTTGCATCCAAACCACAATCACAACCAGCGCTAGCCTACCCCTTGCTTGCACATGCGGCAGACAAAGGCCGAGGACTGAATGGGCTATGGAGACTGAGCTCCCTTCTGCATCCGGGGGGATCCTGCGGGGGTCAGGCACACTGGTGGGGAACAGTGTCCAGGAAGCTAGTGTGGCTGCTGCCCGGGGGGTAGAGACAGTTCTTCAGTCACCCAGCCCCGGCACTAGGGTATCTCTGCCAGAGCAGGCTTGTTCCCTACAGCCTGTTCTCCAGGGCTCGGTGTAGTCCACTTTAAAATGACTCCAGTGAGCAAGCTCTCACAGGGGAGAGGATCCCGCAGTCTGGTTGTTCTCCCTCCCTTCCCCACCAGGAACATTGCTGTGATTTTCAGCCCACGTTCCGCTCGCTTGCTCACGCCCTAACCCTCTTTATGCCCACGGGTGCAGACCTTCATGGACGGACACAAAAGCCTCTGTGGGTCACAAGCATGAATCGCTCACTGGGCCAAATTCAGCACATGGCCCCAGTGCAGTCAGTGGAATTACACCAGAGACAAGTATGGCCCTTCGTCTGACACATTGTGCCTGCACCAGGCAGGAGCCAGCTGTCTCAGATCCGCAGGAAGTGTAGCGTGGATTAGCCAAAATCTAGCATTTAATTTCCTGGGATTAGAGAGAGCCCGGCCTGAGGGTGCTGGGTCACAGCTGGGGGAGACCATTCACACCAAAGCTTTTACAAAGCAGCTGCCCTTTCTCCAGACAGGGCGTCAGACAAGCCCAAGTGAATGATGCCAGTGGGAAACCTTCCAACCAACAAACCAGGGCATGGGAGAGGGAGGGCTGCTTTCTGAGCTATAAAACCAACCCCGGCCTGGCTAACACCCTCAACCTCACCCTGCCATGACCACAATGCTCTGAGAAACTGACTCGGGGGGAGAGTCTTGTAACATTCATCACTGGGGGTAACAGGGACCTAGGGCCAAACCCAGGCCCCGCTGAAATCAGTGGGAACTTGGACCTTGACTCCAGTGGGAGGTTTAGCCCTTTCACTCATATTTTCCCCTTGGACACCACATGGTGAGAGGTGCTCAGGAGTCAGGCCATGATGTGTTTCCTGGAACTCTCAGTTCCGCTTCAGGGCTGGGACGGGGGTGCAATATTTGTGGTGAGTTCTTGTCTGTTGGAAAGCCACCCCTGGCTCCCCTGCCCCAACTGATATCGGGGTCTGGGTTCCCAGCTCTCTTCCACTGGGACAAAATCACTGCTGGTTGGCCATGAAAGCTGTGTGTGCCGGGGGATGTCCTCGAGGCTGGTGCAGGAGAACCACAGTAATTGGAGATGGACAAGACCTACTTGGTCACCAAGTCTATCCCCCTGCAAAGGCAGGAGACGGGCTCTGATTCTCTTTCCCTTCCACCACTTTCACATCAGTGTAATCCCATTGATTAAAGAGTGACAGGGGATGGATCACTTGATGATTACCTGTTCTGTTCATTCCCTCTGGGGCACCTGGCATTGGCCACTGTTGGAAGACAGGACACTGGGCTCGATGGACCTTTGGTCTGACCCAGTGTGGCTACTCTTATGTTCTCATGCACTCACTCCAGATTTACACCTGTGAAGCCTAAAAGAGGGCATCAGCCATAGGACTCGATTCTCCACTGCCCTGAGTCTTGTGTCATCATTTACACCTAGCCGAAGCGGGTGTGAAATGTCACCAGGTCAGAATTCTCCACTCATGCACGCTGGCCTCTTACCTCATGCCAGTGTAAATGACATCCGCAGGCAGCGGAGAGTCCCATTCCCACAATGAGCCCACGGTACAACGCTGGGCTCTGCGTCTGAACTTTCCCAGAGACTGGGGATGTTTGGATCCAGAGGTTTCGTACAGACCCCGTCCCAATCAATAATAAACACTGGGTACTCAGAGCTCTGCAGAGGCCTGATTGTCCTCTCACTTACATTGGTGTGGATCGAGAGCCGCGCTGTTGAACTGAATGAAGTTCCTCATGTAAAGCTGGTGGGAGTGTCCGCTCTCTGGGCCAGTTCTTTGTTCTGCGTTTGTACAGCGACCAGCACACTTGGGTCCTGGTCCGTGACTCGGGCTCCAAGGCCCTACAGCAACAGAAATAAAACAATAAGAAGTGAGATCAGAATCAGGCTCCCTGCCTACTCAAAGTGTGGGAGAGGGAGATGATCCAAGGCACAGATTGCAGCCTAGGGCCCAGCCCCTATTTTTATTATTATTTTGAAGCCCCCTGGAATGTCGCTGAGGGTTTGGTGCCTAGCTGCCGTTTGTGCCTTTCCAAACCTGACAGGTATTGTTCACGCAGCTAAGGCAATGCATGAATCGGCTATTAAACTGATCTCGCATGTTGATCTGAGCCAAGGTGATAGGAGAACAGCAAATTTCTTCTTCAGAGGTGGTTAGAAAAGCGTGCCATTGACTAGGGTGGAAATACACGCCCGGGGTTCTGATGAGTGGGACCCCGGGAAAGCAGTTCCCAGCCGCGCTGTTATTCTTGGCGATTTTGTTTGATAGGCCTGATTTTCAAAAATGGCCTGCAGATTCGTGGGCACTATTGTGCCTTCTCAACTAATGTCTGGTGCAAAGGGCTGGTATTTGGGGGCGTCTCTACACAACTGTGGCTGTGATCCAGGAGGATTTCTAAATACTGAACATCTGTACTGGCTCCTCACTGGCGGTGCAAACTTGTGTCTGTAAAACTGGCGGCCAGGCTGAAAACCATAAGCCCAAGCTGGCCTATTTTCCAGCTAGTAGGAGAGAAACCGTGTGTTCAGATGACATGAGGGGTACTTAGGGCTGACCCAAAGCCCACTGAGGTCACTGAGAGTCTTTGGATCCAGGCCTTAGACTGTCAGGATTTTGGGGCGGGGGCAGTCTGTTTTACAAGGTGCACAGTGCCTAGCGCAATGGAGCTCAGATTCGTGACGGGGCCTTCTATGTGTGACGGCAATAAAAATCTTAAACCCGAATCACCATTGGCCAGCGCGGCCACTATCTCCCAGGGTCCCTGACGGCACCACAGGGTTTGTGAGACATGGTTCTGTCGAGCCTGCCCGTGAAAAGGCTTCCGAGAGCTCAGTGTTACAACAGCAGTGGGGGAAGGGACGGCGGGTTTAACCGCACACAGAGCACAACATTTTGCGTCACTGCCCTCATTTCCTGGACACCAAACAGTAACCACAAGGGACGGGAAGTTCCTCCATAGCAGGGTGGAACGAGATCTGCTGATTGGCTTGCTCAGTGATTGCCTGTCAGGGCCTCAGCATGGGCCGGGCTCTGTGGCACGGCAGTCGTGGCAAGCGCTGATGTGGGGTGTGTTTAAAAATGAGGGTTCCTCTGAGCCATGCAGAGAGTTGATCTTGATGAGCGATGAGGTTGTGAGACAGATTCTGGTCTTTTACCCTGGGAGAGGCTTTAGTTTTGCATCAACGTGGCTGTAATATGCAACCTAATCAGAATGAACATTTCACACCTACTTTGCACCAGGGGTAGGGCAATGGAGAGCCGAGCCCAGGGTGCAGGGAATACAGAATTGGGCCCATTCTCTTTTTACCATTTCATGTTAAAACCCATAGCGATTCTACACTAGATTCATGCAGGAGCAGACCCAGAATGATTCTGCATCTGACCTATTCAGAATCCCTGGACTTGAACTAGATGAGACTAAAATTCTCCTTTTCTTTGGGATCTGCAGGATTCAGAGCTTGGGGTGACGGCTCACGCTGCCGCGGTGACTCCTCCACCTGGCAGCTCTGCAGCAGTACAAGCTGCTCGCTCACAGTCTGGGATTAGAGGGGTTCTTTAATCAGCCTTTTCCATCTCAAAGCAGAAGGCTCTGAAGCCGTAGGGCAGGAAATGCACACCAGTAACACAGATTCATCTTATCTGTTATGGTGGCCCCGGGGTAGCTGGGAGTGATGGGTTGCAACTGACCTTAGGGGAAATACAGACCAAGTATGAGGAAACTTTTGCTAATGTTGAACAGGGAACAACCTCCCAAGGGAAATGGTTAAAGCCCCGTCACTGGGGAAATTAAAACTGGACTGGACAAAGCCCTGGGGAATATTCCATGGGAACAATCCAGAGCTAACCCTCCCTAGGGTGCTGGACCAGATGAAACCTAGGCAGGTCTTTCCCAACTCTAAGAGACATGATTATATGTATTGCAGGGCTCTGCCCCCAGGGTTTCTAGGTCTGTTTCAAAAGCTGCCCTGCTAGTGCCTTAGAAACTTACTATGGCAATTAGCATAGAGAAGCTGGGTTCATAGAGCCAGACTGTTTTGTTGGTGGCACCTAGGGTACGTCTACTCTGAAAAACACCCCCGCAGCAGCCAGTCTCAGAGCCCGGGTCAACTGTCTTGGGCTCACTGGAGTTGTGCTATGCGGCCAAAGATAGACATTCCTGCTTGGGCTTTTGCCCGGGTTCTGAAATCTGGAGATGGGGGAGGTCTCAGCCCAGGCTCCAGCCCGAGTGGGGATGTCTACACTCCATAGCAGGAGCCTTAGTCCACTGAACTGGGTTCTGAGACTTGCTGCCGCGGGGTTTTTTTTGCAGTGTAGACGCGCCCTAGTTACCAAGGACAGAGGTACATGAGAATTGTCTAAGGGGGCAGCCGAGCCTGAGAGCAGAGACTGGATGGGCTTCAAGGCTGCAAGGCTCAGCCCTCTCTCCTATGTCAGAGCAGGTCTGGGACCACCACCAGCAAATGGCTGCTCAGTAGGTGTCAGTCACAAAAGGGCTTTTGCTTCTCTTTCATTCCCAGGTTTCCACTATGAGTCCAGCAATGAGACGGACAAGCGGGAGTTCGAGAAGGCTCTGGAGACCATCGCAGTCTCCTTCAGTAGCACGTAAGCGAACCTCAGCCATCGGCGGTCTGGAGGACGTGCCCCTCCCCTGCAACCTCAACTGTCCCCACCCCAGACAGAACATGCCACTCCGCCCTGTCACTTTGCACGCTCACATCTTGACAAGGGGCAGCTTTTACTGGCAATGGTGAAAGACCAAGTTTTGGGTGTGCAACCCCTCCCCCACTCCCTGCAGCGTCACAAGGTCCCTGGTGGTCCCTGGCTGGACGTCCTGGTCTGTTCCTTGTATCATTTACATCCATTATACTCACATTGCTATTGAGACCAGGGGGTCTGGTTCAGACAACCACCTGGGTGGGGCTATTAAGATACCTCCAGTCTCCTCCTGCCACCGCTTCACCTTCATCTAAACTGTAGGGGCTAAAACATTTGGGGGCTGATCCAATCCCCACTGACGCGAATAGGAAGAGGAGCTGAATCAGGCCCTGGGGCCTGGCCCCTGGCAGACTCCAGGGACCTGCACTCTGAAGTGGTATGGAAGGTCCTACTTGCTGCTCTCCTGTTAATAACTCTAACCGTGCTGACCATCCATGTCCTCCTGCCCCTTCTTCCAGCGTATCTGAATTCCTCATGGGAGAGGTGGACAGCAGCACCCTGCTCTCGATACCTCCCAGCGACCAGAATCAGGTGAGTGACACCAGTTTCGTTCATGCACATCTGGGTCAGCCTGCTCCTAAGTGGACCGGAGGCGGGATATCGCTGGGGTTTGCTTTTGCTTCTGGCACCCCGCCGTTCAGAAGCCCTGAACAGGCCCTGCTCGGCACAGAGAGAAGCAGCTACACACAGTCTCTGCTCAAGAACAAGTAGAGGCAACCAACCCAGAGCCTGGCTGTCCCAGCTTAGCCTAGAGGGCACTGACAGAACTGTGCAGGGAACATCACACAGGCCTTGTCTGCTTGGCCCTGTACCTACTGCCATTCATGCAGACAAGGAGAGATCAAAAGGGCACAGGGTGCTTAGCTAGAGAGGTGACAGGCCCCTGAGAAGGACTTCAGCTAGGTCACTGGATGATCTTGTAGACCAAAGAGTGGAAGACTGAGAATCAGGGCTCTTGGTGTCTATTCTTGGCTCTGCTGCTGATTTGCTGTGTGACCTTGAGCAGGTCACTTAACCACAGATACTTCCATGTCCCCTGAGGGCCTTCATGTACGATCCCAGGGCTGCACTTGGCAGATCAAAAGAGTTTGCTCCTTTTTCTGGGCCTCAGTGAACATAGAGAACCGCCAGGAGCCCCAGGTTTCTATATCCATCTCCTGGCTTCTGAAAAACCACCGTGGCAGCCTGCGCCCGTCTTCACTCGTTGCACCTACTTCTCACTCTCTAACGAGATCTTTTGCCTCCCCACCCCAACAGTCGATGGAGAACCTCTACGGAGGGATCCCTGGGCAGGGCGCAGACGGCATGCCAGCCGGCATGGAAAAATTTGATTCAGGTGAGTGATGTTTCATCATCTCCAGTGGCTGGGTGCAGAATAAATCCTGCTGAGTGCAGGGAAGTCTGGGCAGCAGGACCAGCGGAGTGGCTCAGAGGACATGACGTTCCCTCTCCATTATCGAGGTTCAGGGAGAAACGTGCAGGTGCAAGTCCCTGGCTTGCAGTGGTGCTGAATGCCAGCGATCCACAGGATTGCGGGGCGCAAGTGACAAGTACATGAGGCTTCCCTGCAGGTGTATTCTTGCCCCCTGAACCCGGCACCAAAGGCAGCACCAAAGCAGTTAAAACTGCATTCTCCGTGCCCACCAGACAGCCGAGGGCACAAAGGGGCTGGTAACAAACACTCGCCATGAAATGTGCAGCTCGTGGCATTTCTCTAAGTCTCGGAGCCAGCAGGTGGTGGGCCAGTTCAGGCAGGCAGCTTTCCTGCAAACCGTCCAGCGGGTGCAATGCCTGTCCAGCCAACGTCTCCTCCGAGACGAGAGAGCCTCATCATTTTCACTACTGCTGCAATAGCACCCAACGGCCCCAACCGTTCTGTGGGGCGCTGCATGAACACGTAAGAGAGCGTCCCTGCCCCAAAGAGCTTAGAGACCAGACCAGACAACAAAAGTTGGTGTGACAGAGGGAGTGGAGCGAGGCGGGAAAGGGCAGAAGTAATAAGAACCCACTTTTCTATCGGCTGACTACCTGCGCAATTTGCAGGGATCGAGCCAGTTTGCTTATAAATGCTAGAAACGTATCGGTAACCCTTACTATGCCCCCTGCCTAGCCACAATCAGCTGGAAGTTCAAACCCAGCATGGCAGCACAAGTGGACTTTGGAAAGGGGGTTGAAGGAGGGCAGGGTAATGGCTTGACAGGCTCGTTTGGGGAGAGCACTTCACGGGACGGCTCTGGCGAGTGGAAGAAACAGACAAACTGGCGACGGAAGCTGGTGTCGTTGGCAGGCAACAGATGTCATGAGACATGAGAGTGGATTAGTAGGGTGTGGCAGGGTCATGAAGGGCTTTAAAGGAAAGCTCAGGAAGTCTGAATCTGATGCCATAGGGGAGGGTGACATGGGGGAAGCCTGCAGTGGCTCAGGAGGTCAGTTCTGCTCCTTGGTTCCAGTTCCCTACCAGTGTGTCTGACCCCCGCAGGATCCCCCCGGATGCCTCTTTGATCCCTGCAGGACTCCTGGAAACCCCAAGACAATTTGGGTGTGTAAGTCAGCGGATGAGAGTGCTTGGCAGTAGCTTAATTGCCTGGCTAATTCTATATCTCCTCCTTCTCTCCCATCTTTCGCCGTGTCCCTCTGTCACAGTCCGTCCATCTGCAGAAGAGGTGGACATCATGCTCCAGCGGTGTGAGGGCGGCGTGGAAGTTGCTCTCCAGTATGCCAAAAACATCTCCAAGTACATGAAGGACCTCTTCTACTACCTGGAGAAGAGGACCACTCTGGGTGAGTGGCAAGAGGACAGAGTATGCTTCCCAAGATGCTGAATTCCTGAAGGCGGCATCGTAATGGCCACAGTGCTACTCCCAGCTCCCATTCTCGTAGTATTTATTACGGGCTTGAAGTGGAAGGGACCCCTTGATCCAGAAATGGATTGGGGACCGAGAGAGTCATTTATGGCCTAATGGACCGAGCACAGGCCTGGGAGTCAGGACTTGAATTCCATTCCAGAATTTGCCACTGACTCTGTATGATCTTGGGCAAGTCTCTGCCTCAGTCTGGCCCGCTGTAAAATGATACCTGTCTTCCTGTGTAAAGCACTTTAAGATCTATGGATGAAGTAGATCTATGTGCATGCAAAGAATTACTACCTTGATAGATTTCAGAGTAACAGCCGTGTTAGTCTGTATTCGCAAAAAGAAAAGGAGGACTTGTGGCACCTTAGAGACTAACCAATTTATTTGAGCATGAGCTTTCATTAGCTCACGAATTGGTTAGTCTCTAAGGTGCCACAAGTACTCCTTTTCTTTTTACCTTGATAGAAAAAGGCAAAGGGGTTTTTTTGATTGTGTGTGTGTGTGATGAAACACAAAATCAGCAGGGCAAGGCCTTCTAAGTCCATCTTCACTTCCTTCCTTTCCCTTGCAGAGATGGAATTTGCCAAAGGACTGCAGAAGATGGTGAACAGCTGTAAGCAAACGATCACTCAGGAGGTAGGTCAGAGCTCCGATGTAAGCACACCCCTTGTGTCGGGTTCCTGCATACGTCTGGGCCTTACTTACACCAGAAGCAAGCACTGGAAACCTCCCTGCTCATGAGAGAAACACTGCACTTTCAGAGCCTCACCGGTTCAGCTAAGCCCTTCTAGGGTGTAATTTTTCAGAAGCACGCTGCACTGCCTAACTTGGCTCCGACTGCAGTCAGGGGAGCACGGAATTCAAAGGCCAGTGCTAAGCACTTCTGAAAATCTCACCCCTAAATTTCTAGGTATGGCGCTTCATTTTTGAGACTCCCTGCTCCCTCGTGGCAAATCCAGGGGCCCAATTCCCTCCCCCCCGGTCCAAGTAACGACCATTCACTTCAACTTGAACCCAGGCTCTGGGTCCCATAACAATAGGACCTGTTTGGGTGAGAGTGAGCTATCTACCAGCCAGGCTAGAAGGAATCCCAGGAGGAAGCGGTTATGGCATAAAGTCATATCGCAGAGTTTTACAGGCACTCTGGTTTGAGAGCTGCTGGGGATGAGGTTACGCACTTCAAGCTCAACAGAACCTCTGACATTTCCCCTTCTTCCCCTTTGCACCATGCTGACAGTACACAATTCATCTATATGTAAAAGCTAGCTCTGGGCCTTTGTCGGCAGCACACAGACAGTCTGGGCCTCTCACTCTCCTCCACCCCCTGCCCCGCGGCTAGGACCATTTCTCTGCCATGTGCTCGCTGTGGCAGTTGACTCTCTCGGGGGGGTGTTGTAATTTTCCAGCCACACATGCCGTTCCTGTCGATCTACTCGCTGGCTCTGGAGCAGGATATGGAGTATGGCGCCACAGTCGTGCAAACGGCTGCCACCTTGCAGAACCATACCTTCCTGCAGGTAGGAGAGATGCCCACACCCACAGCTGCACGGGATGCTTTGGTGCAAATCGCTGGAGAGATCCCCTGCATTTGTTTTCCCTGTTTGCTGTTTGATCTGCAGGGAACGCCTGATGCCCCTGAGTTCCTGGCTTTGAAACAGGAAGTGCCCTCTCCTACTGGAAAGGGCACCTGAGAGTAACCCCTTCCCACTAGGGACTTTGCAGTGGTAGAAGTGCTGTCCTGTCGCTGTCTTTATACCACAGGGTTTCTCTTTCAGGCACAGATCTTCAGAGTTCCCTTTCACTCAACTAAGACAGGGGTTGGGTTTGATATTTACCGGCATCCCCTGTTACTGCTCCAAACTGGAGATGCACCAGAATCATGTATCCAAACTCCTGGGCTTTGGGGTGTTTGGATAAAAGGTCTCACAACCATCCCTAAGTTCAGCTAAACCAAACAATTCATTTTCGCCATTCTCCAGCTCGGCTTAGGCCTCTTCAGGGTCTGTGTATTGTTCCCGGCATGGACAAAGTTACACGCGCGAGTCACTAGCAGAAAGCTGCTAGGTCCGGTCTGCGTGCCCAGGACAGTAGGGTAATGCATGGTTCTTTCACCGCCAGAGAGCTCCGTTTACTTATGTCAGCCTAAAGTGAAAATGAACAGGACACCATCCACCTAATTTCAAGGTGTTTGTCCACAACACAGAATCGCCCTTAGTTCAGCATGATCAGTGATAACAACTCTTCTATAGCACTTCTCATTTGTAGATCACAAAGCCCCTTACAAAGGAAAGTATGTATCAGCACCCCCACTTTACAGATGGGGAAACTGAGGCACATGACACCCTAATATCACAGAGCAAGCCAGGGATAGAACACACATCTCTTGATGCTGTAGCCCAGTGACTCAGCCTTTGCAACACACAGCAAAGTCTGCTTACTAGAACAGGACCGGGGTAGGCAGGGCAGGCCAGGAATGAGACAAGTGACCTGGCAGAGCTGTGTGGAGCTGCCCGTGCTATGGCGGGTGCTGTCTGGTGCTGGCAAGCCCTTGGGTTTATGAGCACTGCAATCCACTGTAAAGGAAACTGGTGCATTTGGAGGACCCGAGCAGGGCAGAGCATATCTAGGCACAGGTCAAAAAGGCCTCTGAGCTGTTCTGCCCCTGACTCCGCCCCCTACTGGCCTCAACTATAAACCATTCTGTTCCCCCCTCCATTCCAGCCACTAGGAGTGAGACGCCTTGAACATGAAAAGCGAAGGAAGGAGATTAAGGAGCAGTGGCATCGGGCCCAGAGGAAGCTGGTAGGTAACAAATAGCTGCAGCGTGCCATAGGGTTGTGCCGTGATTGTATCCTGGCTGTGACAGCCCCCCCCCCCCCCCATCTTGTCACTCATATTGTCAGATTCTTTGCCCCTCTTCGTGCCGGCATTAGAAACAAGCACGCACGGGACTGGTCTATGATTGGCCTCTTCAGTGAGCCTGATGGACGAGCAATGCGAGAAATGTGCATCCAAGGGACTGTAACACTTCTTCTGCCCCCCCACCCCTCCATCATCCCCACCATCCCAGTGCTCCCAGGGGGCAGGAAAGCAGCTCTCCCATTGAAAGGAGCTTTGCTCTTCCAACCCCGCTGTCAGTTTCACTATAAGAGCCCAGAACTGTTTCCTTATTATTTATCCTGCGGGAGTGCCTGGGGCCCTAGTTCTAGATCTGATCCCTACCGTGCTAGGCGCTGTACATATGCATAACAAAGAGCCAGCCTCTGCCCCAAAGAGTTTACAGTCTAAGTTTCCTCCCCTCCATGCTCATTTCCTAGCCATATGTGTGCAGAGTTGGTTAGTACTCAGCTTCATCCTGTAATTCTGCAGTGGAGAATCTTTCAGGCCAGTGAGGAGAGAACCCTGGGGCTAGGGAGGGGGAGGATAACATTTTCCTTGGACAGACAGACTTTTCCCTAGACCAGTTACCTTGGATCAAGGTCCCAATTTTTTGTCCGGCAGCAAGAGGCTGAGACCAACCTGCGCAAGGCCAAGCAGATATACATGCAGCGCTGTGAAGAACACGAGAAGGCCAAGTATATGACAGTGAAGGCCGAAGAGGAACAGCAGAACACCAGCAGCAACACCACCAGCAAGACCCTGGACAAGAAGAGGCGGCTGGAGGAGGAGGCCAGGAATAAGGTGAGGGTCAGGGAGATGCTAGGAGAACATCACTGTTTGGGATGTTGAGTGGGCAGGGAGCCCTCTCCACACCGTCGGAGCCTTTCGTGTCCCAAACGCTGTACATCTCCAAACCATCCTTTCAGCCGGAAGCACATCCCAGACTCCCAGTGTTTCTGCTCCGTACCTGACCAGAGGGACTGGTGCTGAATCACTCACTAGCAGGGCCTCTGGTAGACCCCAACCCCCTGCACCCGCCCAGGACCACCTGGGTCTCTCACCAGGCTGAACAGCAGGGCCACTGAACCAATCCGCTATCACCTTCTGATGGTAACGAGGTGTTTTAGTTCACTGGCTCCAATTGTGCTGGGAATTCGCTGCCCCTGACAGCCACTGAAATTAGTTTGGCGGGACTTGACATGGATGCTGTATCCAGTTCTGGTGTCCACAATTCCAGAAGGATGTTGATAAATTGGAGAGGGTTCAGAGAAGGGTTGTGAGATTGATTAAAGGATTAGAAAACCTGCCTTATAGAGACATACTCCAGGAGCTCAGTCTATTTAGCTTAACAAAGCGAAGGTTAAGGGGTGATTTGGTTACAGTCGACACATACCTACATGGGGAACAAATATTTTGTAAGGGGCTCTTCAATCTAGCAGAGAAGGAATAACATCATTCAATGGCTGGAAGTTGAAGCTAGACAAATTCAGACTGCAGATAAGGGGTAAATTTTTAACAGTGAGGATAATTAAGCATTGGAACAACTTACCAAGGGTTGTGATGGATTCTCCATCACTGAGAATTTTTAAATCAAGACAGAATGTTTTTCTAAAAGATCTGCTCTAGGGATTATCTTGGGGGGAAAGCTATGACTTGGTGTTACACAGGAAATCAGCCTAGATGATCACAATGGTCTGGCTTTGGAACCCATGAATCCTAGCAGACAAGTGTCTGCATTGGAAAGAACTTCCCCAGCTGGTCTTGTTGGCAGCTGTCCCAGCATAGAAACCAAGGATGAGTGCAGGAGTGCCTGGGGAACAGCCGGGGGTGCTTGCCCCAGCATTGCCCTGGCTGCTGCACCTGGTATGTGACTCAAGGACTTCATTCTCCAGGGCAGTCAGTGCTAAATGCTCATCGGAACTGCCTGGGCAGGAGGGACTGTAGGGTAAGTGCCACCCAAGGGGCAAAGGAGGGTTTGTCTTCCTTCCCTGCCCTCCCACCGCTGGGCAGTTAGCACCTCACACTTTCTCGGGTGCTTTCAGGCAGAGGAGTCGATGGCCACATACCGGACCTGCATCGCAGATGCCAACACACAGAAGCAGGAGCTGGAGGACACCAAGGTGAACGTCCTGCGGCAGATCCACGAGGTGATCAAGCAGAGCGACCAGGTCATGAAATCGGTGAGTAGGGCTCGCTGGCTTGAGGCAGCCGCCTGAGCGGTAGGACCGTACTCAGCCTCTTCTGCACACATTGCTGTGAGAAGCCCAGATCTCGCTGTGTTATGCCAAAAGCACCTACGCTCCCCCTTGGGTTGGCTGCTCCTCTCTCTGTAGAAGAGAGGGTGAGGAGGAGCAGACCTGAGATAAAGTTCTTTCCAATCTCGCTGCCAAGACTTAAAGCTAGAGGTAACTCAGGGACCTCTGCCTAGCACAGTGTCCCAGGGTCCCGGCGGCATGTCTTACATGGAGCTCTGACTCTCTGGCACTAGCATGCAGAGTCTCAAAGGGCTGCTTCCGCACAAACCACGCGTACAGTCGCACATACCCCTGCACCCCGCTCTGAGTCTCTCTCTCTATTTCAGGCCACAATCTCCTTCTACCAGATCATGCACATACAGACAGCGCCCCAGCCCGTCCACTTCCAGACCTTGTGCGAGAGCAGCAAGCTGTACGACCCCGGGCAGCAGTACGCCTCCCACGTCAAGCAGATGCAGCGGGGAGACGAACCCGAGACCCAGTACGACTTTGAACCCTACGTGTCGCAGAACGCCTGGTAGGGAGGGCCCCCTTTCACTCTGCTGCCTGTGACCCTCCCTCTTGGAGAGGGGCTATGAGCTACTCTCAATGCCAATGCTCCTGCATCATGCCGTACAGCGCTTCCTGCTGGGAGAGGCTAGCCTGGGAAAATCTGGGAGTCCCCCACACAGCTAGCACTCCTGCCCTGCTTCCTTCAGCATCTCCTGCTGGGACAGGCTAGAGAGGATTGCAGAGCTCCCAATAGCCAGGGCTTCCCTGCTCCCCCCAGCAGCGTCACCTGTTGGAGTGTCCCACCCCCTCCCCAAAGGTGCGGTGTGGGCTGGCAAGGAAGGTGCTGACTGGTGAGGCAGGCTGTTGGATACGTAGGATACTAGGGTGGTGCGGTCCCAGAGTGGGTGACTGCAGCGGCAGGTGAGTTGTCGCTGAACATCCCCTTCCTCTCCACCCAATTGAATGATCCCTTTCACCTTCCTTCTGGCCATCAGGTCCCCCTGCATCCGGCCACGGAAAGGCAGCTTTAATGCCAGTGACTTCAGTTGTGCCGACGGGGCTGCACCCTCCAAGGACGGAGGCGTCTCGGAGGGAGGGGCAGCGGCGAGGGAGCAGCAAAGTGGGACCGTGAACGTGGAACGGAGAGGTGAGCTCCTGGAGAGCAGTGCCTGGGGGTGCAGGTCAGACACCGTGTCCTCTGATGAAGAGCTGCCCCCCCCACTTTATTCTCTAGCAATATGGTCTGGGGCAGAGTGAGTTCTTCCGTCTGCAGAGAACAATTCCTCTGCGAGAGCCCATCCGTGTGTGGGGCAGAGGAATGGAATCAGGGATCCAAAGTGAACATCATTTACTAAGCAGACCCTTGGTCCATCCAGCCTGGTATCCCTCCAGCTACCCCTCCCAAACAGACCCCTGGTCCACTGCCTCTAGGGTCTCCATCAGCCCCTGCCAACCATCTAGTCCCATATCCTGTCTCCAACTGCAGCCCATGCCGGATGCATTAGAGAAAGGACTCTGGATGCACATAATTCTTTCGATACTATTAGGTGGCAATTGTTCTTCCTGACCCCAACCACTCATAAACTGGTGCCCTGAAGCACCGAGAGCACTCGTGCTTGTATCTTTGCCAGCATACTTGGCTAAGTCCTTTAAGGTTTAAGAATTGTATTAAGATGATGTTAAAATAAAAAGAAAATGGTACAGAGTTTAAGCGTAGAAGTTTCTGGTTATCAGGGAACAACGTACAGATTATCAAGCGGTGCGAAGTTTGGTTTAGGATCGGATGGCGTAAAGAATACATATACTAAATACAATGGCAGCTACAGCTTCTTATCAGGCCGGGGAGATCAAAGCCATTGAGGGTGTTTAACAAAGAGACTTTTGCTGTCCTTCAGATCCCGCCTCACTATAATTTTCCCTCCCTTTCCTACTATAGGGCCCTGTAAACGGTGCGCTACTGCCCCAAAGTGCTGCCTAGTAGTCAGGTGCTTGTTTCCGGCTCTCCCCTCCTGCCCTGGGGGGAGTGAGGGCTGGGCCTTTGAATAATCAGGGTCCTTCCCGTAGGCCTCTCGGAGATGCTGTCTGCTAGATACGGGTAGGAGAGCCCGGGCTCATCCTTTCCACTGATTTCCAGTCCAGGGCTCAACGATGGGTGGCTACACTAGGCCTTCCCTGGACCTCTTCCTACCCCAGCCCCTGCTGACTACACCAGCAGTCAGAGTCTCTGTCCTGTACCCCCAGTCACTGCTCTCTATCGCAGGTTCTCCTCTGGTCGGTGTAATGAGGCCTCCAGAAAGGTGCCCTGGGGCAATACTTCAACTCTCAGAGCCGCCATCTGCCCCCCTCCATTGCCGGCCCCCTTCAGAGCTGCTCTTCTCCCCTTTTGAAGCCATGCCTTGCACGAGTGGCGTGCCTGGCTGGGGCAGCCTGGGCCCAGAGCAACGCCTTAACTCCTTGCTCTCCAGTGTGGGGTTTGCTAACCCCATCCCAGGCCCAATCCTGCTAGGTGCTGATTGCTCTCAATTGCCATAATGCTGATGGAAGATGAAGGGGCTCATTATTCTCTAATTTCCTACCCAGATGAGCCTCCTCTCAGAGTCCGTCCATGCTGCTGCTGCTTCTAATGCCCATTGCTTGGAAGTGGGTCCACTGCAGATTCCCCTCTCCCTGCACCCTGGTGCTGAGACTGCCCTCTTGCCCTCTGCAACACTCACCCCTGGTCCCAACGCGCCTGCAAGCAAGAAACGGAGCACGGGCAGTTGGATTTTCTGCAGCCTGAGAGCCCACCAGTGTCAAGGCTGTTCTAAATTAAACTATGTTGCTCACATGGACCCAGCAAGCAGCAGCTCACGTGTCAAGTGGTTCTTTCTGCAGGTGGGAGAGGACACCAGGTCCATAAGTCTTGGCCAACGTCCATCATTGAAACAGAGGGCAGCCTGGATTCAGCCTCAGGTAGAGTAACCTGGCCCATGGGGAGCAGTGTAATACAGGGCTGGCTGCTTCTTTCTCCTGTGCTACTCCAGTCTACATCTCCTAATGGGACCAGTCTGGGGGCAGAGCATGAGAGCTAAAATGAGATTTGTGTCTTAATTTTTCTAGTTTAAAATAAGTCTATATACTGCAGGTTACTACTCTGGTCCCAGCCTCTGACGGTAGATGGCTCAGTAGAATGACAGGAGAACTGGAATGTCACTGCTACGTCAGTTCCTCCCAGCAGGAGGCACTGTACGGGACAGGCTGGGAGTGCTAGCTCTGGGGAAAATTCACAGCTACTCTGGAGCCATCGTCCCCTAGTAGGCGCGGGACTTGGCTGTGGGCCACACACACATTCATAAGAGAAACTGTTTAGCCTCTAATCGTGCTCCGTATTGTGGGTTGTGTTTTGGTAGGTACATTTAGCCAGAAGTTCCAGCGGATGTCTTCCAATGGCACCATGTCCTCTAATGAAGAGCTGGATGAGAAGGATGAGAATGCGGCTTCATTTGAACAGAGTACGTGATGGGGAAGGGTTCCACCATTCCTGTGGCTCAGTACCCAGGCACCTTGACAACATTAAGCAGATAGTGACTTACCTTGACTAAAAGATTGACCGAGGACAAGATTAAGATGGTGTTTGCTTCAATGGGCCAAATTCATCCCTGGGGTAACTTTGCTGAATTCAGCAAAGTTATCTTGGAATGAGTTGGTTCAGATGCCAGAACTGCCATAGTCTGAATGCTACTGACCGAGGCAAAAACGAGGGGCCAGGTTCTAATCCCCGTGACACTGGAGCAATTATGGAATAACTGGAGTCCAGGGAGCGCCATTAGTCTCACTGACAGCAGATTGGGGCTGACATTGTCCCACGAGAAACTGTAAACCTTGATATTCCCCAAAAAATGAGATTGAGAGCTGAATTTTACCACATATCCCCAGTATGTGGAAATCTCTCCACCACTGCCATGGATTTCTTAGCTCTTTAACTAACGTTCTGAAGGTGACTAGAAGAGTTCCATTTGGCAGGGGGGAAATCAACTATTACTGACTATTGAGCCAGTCAGGTCACTGAGATTTGCATATGCAATCTGATTGGTTAACTTAATACTAGACCTGTCACTACTGTAGACCTTGGAAGGAAAACAACGGAAACACATTGATTTGTCACATGACTACTTTCAGCCAATCACTGAGCTAGGATTTCCTTGTATGTAACAATCGAAGTCACTTGGACTCTTCGTACATTTGCTAGAGTCTTCCAGTTGATAGGGAAAGAAGTTGACTGGTAGCTGGTGACTAAGTGCTTGCTGTCATGGTGCTTTCAGAACTGTGATCTGGGCTGTGTCTGACCAAGGCTTGCTGCACGTTTTCCAGACTCTCTAACTCAGCGTTGGGGGCTTTGGATCTCTATGGCTGGTTATCTCACACAAAAACAGGAAAAGGAAGAAACGTTCCCCAAAATTGTCAGCTCCAAGCAAGTTATTTGAGGATTGAATTCAGCTTGGCAGGGGAAGGGCTGCTGGCGGAAAGTCTCCCATGGCCCCCGCATTATGTGCTTTCGTATTACTTCTGGAGACTTTGGCCAAGCTTCCCTGGAGATTAGCTCGCAGTCTGTGCTGCTGGGCATTAAATCAGTGGAGGATCAGCTAGAAACCAAACTGGCAGTGTTATCTTCTCATCTCCGAAAATAGGAGAGCACAGAAGAGATGGGTGAGGACTGCCTAGACAGCGCATGGTGAAACCACAGTTCTCCATATGTCTCCAGGGCCATGAAATCCCTATGGATGATCATGGGCTTAGAAAGAAGGTGGGAACAGGTTTATTTGACCCAGGTTACTTAGAGGAGCTGACTCTAAAGCTTAGGCTGTAGGATATCTGAGACGTGACTGGAGTATGGACATGGCCAGTTGATTGACTGGTCTGTTGGAAGTGCTCCTGGGCTCCGATATCCTCTATGCCAGCTCCTCTGAGTCACATGGATTTTGGATGGATTTATTCTTGGTTTGCCTCCAGGCATCAATGGGATAGCCCCTGAAATGACGGCTCCGACGGGCCCATTCCGAAACGTGGGTTTATCCAAGGCTGCCCAGACCCATCGGCTGAGAAAACTTCGCACCCCTTCGAAATGCCGAGAATGCAACAGCTACGTTTACTTCCAGGGAGCGGAGTGCGAGGAGGTAGGGAGAGACGGGAAGCAGGCCTGGGGGAAGGGAGGGGTAGATGAAGTAGAAGCCTGGAGAGGTACCCAGCAGCACTGATGTGAACTGGGAACCAAGTGAGCTCAGCTGAACCTGCAAGTGTTTTGGGTGACAGCATCTAACTTCTCACATATCTTTGTTCCACGAGAGTCTCAGCTGCTGGACTGTCTTTCTGCAGCTTCATATAAGGGTGGGAGCAAATATGCACCTGCAACGTAAGTCCTGTTATGCATAGGCACCAACTTCTCCTGGCGCCGGTGGGTGCTCGACCCCCACTGCCTGCCGCTTCCTGTCCCTGCCCTGCCCCCCATTCCAACCCCTTCTCCAAAGTCTCCACCCCAACTCTGCCCCTATTGGACTCCTTCCCCAAATCCCTGCCCCGGCCCCACCTCCTCCCCTGAGCGTTCCAACTTCCCACTCCTCCCGCCTCCCTCCCACAGCTTGTTATGCCGCAAAACAGCTGTTTTGTGGCGGGAAGCACTGGGAGGAGAAGCGGGGATGTGGCGTGCTCAGGGGAGGAGGCGGAGGTGAGCTGGGACGGGGAGCTTGGCTGCCGGTGGGTGCAGAGCACCCACCAATTTTTCCCTATGTGTGCTCCAGCCCCGGAGCACCCATGGAGTTGGTACCAATGCTGGTATGCTGAGACACACTGGTGGATCACACACCTCTTTGAGATTGGATGTGAACACACTCTTCAATTAACATAACTGGCAGGAGGAGTTAATCAGCAGTGTCCTCCCTTCTCCCCATCCCTCAGACAAAAGGGGGTTGTGAACCCACCGGAGAGCTTGGACTGAGTGGGCAGAGAGATTTAGCTGAGTGTTTGTGTTTGGTGCGTGTGCTTGGGGGGCGGGGGGGAGAAGGCAGGACACACAAAACAGGGAGAGAGGCAGAGGCAAACAGCAAGAAAGCCATGCAGTAGCCTGGGAGCATAAAGTGACCATGGGAAAAGCTAGAGCTGGAGCTTTTGGGTCTGGTGTTGGCCAAAGAGGCTTGGGGCTGCAAGCTGAGAATCTGTCCTTTTGTTCACGGTGCCGCCTGCACTCGGAGAAGCAGGACTTTGCACACTCCTTGTCATTAAACAAGATGGCATCACAGAAATACAAGACTCCATCAGTTTCTGCTTCCAACTGGAACACCCCCAGGGCCTGACCTTTGACGAGCCACTCAGGTCAAAAAGGGGGTACAATCCCTTAAATCTCTGACCCCGATGTACTGATGTACAAGAGGCCTTAACTGCAGGTGCAAGATGAATCTGCAAAAACGGAGGCCCAGGGACAGCCCAGTTGGAAATCTCTCTCTCAGTGTGTTCCATAGGGCAGCTGCTTCCTTGGCCTGCTGCTCGGTGGGCTGGGGAAGTCCCTGCCTATCTCCTCTCCCTTTGCGTTTGGAAGAGATCATTTTCTTTGTTTTTTGGGACATGTTCAGGCTACGGAATGGCTTCGGGTCCATCCCAACAGACAGGCAATCTCCCACCCACCCGGCTGTTGGAGCGCTGCTCCTCTCAGCACAGCTCTTACGCACTTCTTCTGGCATGCAGTGAATCTGCTCTGATTGGCACTCAGATGTCTCCCAGGCAGGAGACATGGTACAATACGGTAGCTGCCCCTGTGAGTTGAAGCTTTATTCACCATAGAGTCTCTCTCTCTCTCTCTCTCTCCCACCAACCATCTTCCTGTCGGTTCCAGTGCTATTTAGCCTGCCACAAAAAATGTCTGGAGACCCTGGCCATCCAGTGCGGCCACAAGAAACTCCAAGGGAAGCTGCAGCTCTTTGGCCGGGATTTCACACAGACATCCCAGAACAGCTCGGACGGCATCCCCTTCATTATCAAGAAGTGCATCTGTGAGATCGAGAAGCGGGCTCTGAAAACCAAGGTGAGGCACCCTCTTTCTGACCTCCGCCCCAATCGTGCCAGGCTCCCTGCAGTGGCTGACTGCCCTTGTAATCCGGACAAGGAATGGCTCGTTTGCTCATGAGCTCCAGCTCCTTTCCCAGTGCCTGTATCCCACCGTGAAAACATCAGACTGCTTCTAGAGAGGTCTAGAGAGCTGGGAGCCAGGAACTAGAGTCAGTAGCAGAGCCAAGATTATCTGTAACCTTGGGTAAGACACCTCCTGGTTCACAGATGGGGAAACTGAGGCATCAAATAGCAGCACTTGGGTTTAACAGCTGTTATATAACCAACTACGAATAACATAAGATCAGTCATACTGGGTCACACCGGTGGTCCACCTAGCCGAGTGTCCTGTCTTCTGACAGTGGCCAATGCCAGGTGCTTTAGAGGGAATGAGCAAAACAGGCAATCATTGAATGATCCATCTCCTGTCGTCCACTCCCAGCTTCTGGCAGTCAGAGGCTAGGGCCACCCAGAACGTGGCGGCAGCGTCCCAGGCTCATCAATAGCTATTAGCCAAGATGGACAATCCTCCATGAACTTACCTAATTCTTTTTTAAATCCCATTATACTTTTGGCCTTCACAACATCCCCTGGCAATGAGTTCCACAGGTTGCCTGTGCGTTGGGTGACGAAGTACTTCCTTTTGTTTGTTTTAAACCTGCGGCCTATTAATTTCATTGGGTGACCCTTGGTTCACGTATCATACAAAGGGGTAAATAATACTTCCTTATTCACTTTCTCCAAACCATTCACGATTTCACAGACCTCTACCCTACCCCCCACCCCAAGTCATCTCCTTTCCAAGATGCACAGTCCCAGTCTTTTGATTTGTTGTTTCTAACCACAGAACCAGGCGTGGGGTGATAAGCCCACTGTGCTGGGTACGCTACTGGTGAAACACCCCTCCTGGTCTCCTTTTAACCTCACGCCCTCCTTTGCAGGGCATCTATCGAGTCAATGGCGTGAAGACACGCGTGGAGAAGCTTTGCCAGGCATTTGAGAATGGGAAGGAGCTGGTGGAGCTGTCCCAAGCCTCCCCTCACGATATCAGCAACGTCCTGAAGCTCTACCTGCGACAGGTAACAAGTTCCCGACCCTCCAGGATTGTCTCTGCACTGCATGAGGTGGAGAATCGCCAAAGAAAGACTTTTGGGGGATCATACCCAGCCCCACTGGGTCACCTCTGGCAGGAGGAGTTCAGCCACAAACTAGAGTTAAACTCTGTATGCTGGCTGTTCCATGCCAATGGTAGAGACCTAAGGTATTGAAATCATATATCCAAATTCAAAGCAGGCCAGTAGGAACCGAAAGCAGCATTGCCAACTCTGGGGATTTTATCCTGCTCTTTGGTGTTTTTTTCTTAAAGTCCCAACTCCTGAAAGAAAGGACTTCCCCCAAAATCTCATCTAAAGCAAAAGCAAGTTTGTAGCCCTTTGTGAACTCAATGACTCTGAAACCAAAAGGCAAGTACAACCCCCCCAAATCTCTTAGTTGCTAAACAAACAAAACACTCCTGCTTTATTTTGGGGGCGAGATGACTCATGATTTTTGAATGCTTGACAACACTGCTGAAGATGGTCCATCGAGCGGTTCTTTGGCAGCCTGCATACAATGAGATTATTTCTTGGTGGTCAGGTGCCCACACTGCAAAACTACCGTGGCAGTTGCCAGTCCACCAATTCACCCCTTCAGGGGCACACCACAGAGACAGATTTCACCCATGCCTAGAGGGTGTCCCTCCAAGTCATAGATAAGGCATGCGGTTGGGGATGTATGGGCAAGGGGCACATTAGGGGGGATTCTTGCCTGGTCACTGCTCATGCTGGGCCTGGTCCAGGGGTAGTTTGCAAGCTTCATTCTGTGAACCCAGCATTAGACAGACACAGACAGACAGAGACAGACAGACACACACCCACGCCTGCAAGGCCAGTTCTGGTGCAGCGGCTGTTGTTCATGCCTTGGCGTTCAAGGTGGTTGGTACCGACGACTCTCCCAATTCTCCTTTGGCCAAGGCCCCAGCATGTGAAACTAGCCCATTAAAACAGGCGGCCCACATCCTCAAACAACAGACGCTGCAAGGCAGAAGGGGAAGCAGCTTGTCTCTTTTGCTTTAGACTGTGGGTTTGGTAACCTTGCACCTGTTAACTCCATAAACCCCTGCCCCTAAGGACAGACCCTCCCCTAGTCTCCAAGTGGGCAGGGCTTCTTTGAAGGCAGTGGAACTATGCTGAACTACAGCGGCTGAGGACATGACCTGTCGCCTGTTTGGAAAGGCAGGACAGCCAAGCAGGGGAAAGAGAGAAGCCGATCAACGTTAGACTCTGTTTTCAAGTCCCTAGTTAGAGCAGCCTGAAAACCAAGCCAAAGCAACAGGAAGTCTTCATGATTCATGAGACAGGAAGTCTCCGTGTCATCACTCAGACATGCCAGAGGGAGCGGCTCAGTGGTTGGTGCTTAAAGGTTTGAAGCATCAAGATTCCCTGGAAACAGACTTTTGAATGCCAACAGCACTGACGCTGCCCTCTGGCCTCCAATGTGGCTAAACTGAGTTCCGTGCAGTTTGCAAACCAAGTTCGTGTTTGCTTCCCGGGGCCATTAGTGAGCCCCCAAAAACATCCTTGGCCAAAGTCTCCCCTCAGCATAGTGCAGCAGGTTGCCTGCTTAACCCCAGAGGTGGCTGCATGGCTGTGGTGCTCGGGACCTGTAGTGCATTGGGAGGGAAGGAGCTCGGTAAATCCAAAGTTCTGGGATAAACGAGTGTGTAATTTACAGGAATAAATAGCAAGATGGGGCTGAATTTACGTGGCACAGGGGTAAAGCCGGGTCTCTGATGACTGAGTGCCTAGCAAGCAGGGGAGGCTGAGAGAGAGAGGCCCTTTCCTTCCCTCACTGCATTGTGGGTAGCTCAGGAGCATTTGGGAGGTTTCCTTGCCATAGAAGTTTGCTGAAGAAAGGACGAGAGTTTTCTCAGCACAGTGAGCTAGGACAGGGAGCAGATTCAGGAAGGAGAGAACCGCCCTAGAGCCTAGGGCCATCTCCTATTATCTGAAATTGCTTTACAGCCTTGGCCCTGGTGAGCGCTGAGTCTGCGCATTTGCCTTCACGGACTCATCTCCCCCGTCTGTTCTTTCTTGAAGCTGCCAGAACCCATCATGCCCTTCCGGCTGTACAATGAACTCATGGGCCTGGCCAAGGAAAGCCTGCAAGGTGGGGGCGAGACCAAGACCAAGACTGGGAAGGGAGGTCCCGAGCTGGTGGACAAGGGAGCTGAGACGGACAAGATGGTGGTGACATTGGTGACAAAGTTGAAGGAGCTGCTGAAGGAGCTTCCACGGGAGAACTTGGCCACGCTGCAGTACATCGTGCAGCACCTGAGAAGGTGAGGAGGGGTGAGGAGAGCTGCAAGGGGGGGGTTGTTAGTGATGCTGCAACACCTGCCACCCCCCCATCCTTGAAATGGGAGGGTGCGGGTTCAGGCAGCCTCCCTCCCAAAAATGGAAGTTAGGTCTGAGGGCAGTGGAGTCCTCTCCAGAACTAGCAGGGCGGGTGGGTGGGGGTCTCTCCTCCCATACAAACGCTGTCACTCCCCCCGGAGAAGTGGGACACCTGGACCACAGGCAGAGCAGCCTCTGTGCCGTATAAGTTCCATCTGTCCTCCCCTCCACTCCGGTCCCCCTTCCCATCCTGTTCTCCCATGAACACGTCTTTTCCTGCTCCCCGGCTCCTTCAGGATTGTGGAAGTAGAACAGGATAACAAAATGACCTCGAGCAACCTGGGCATTGTCTTCGGGCCAACACTGATGCGCCCCCGGCCCACCGAGGCCACCATCTCCCTGTCCTCGCTGGTCGATTACCCCCACCAGGCTCGCATCATTGAGGCCCTCATCATCTTCTACTCAACCATTTTCGAGAACAAGGCGGCTCAGCTACTGACTAGCTCTGACAAACACACAGAGGATGCCGAAGAGGGGACCAGGCGCTCTAGCCAGGTGGGAGTCCCTCCGAGTCGAGTTCCACATCCTAGAATTGGGGTGGGGGTGGGGGAGCACTTATCTAACGAGACCTTCTATTTCTGCTTGCACTACTGGGCCTTTTGGTGCCAGCAAGAGGAACGAGGGTGAGCAGGTTGTGGCATGAACGGGCTTTAAAAGGAAGGGAGAAGCAGCCAGCGCTCCACAGAGGAAGCGGGGCCGTCTCTCTGACCTAGGGCAGGCCACCATCAGAAGAAGGGAACAAAGGGAGCTGAGTTGACCAGGCCCTGCATGCTGCAAGGAAGGAAGGAAGCCTCCTACCTATCTAGCATCAAACAACTTTCGAAGTGTCATTCATGCCAAGCCAGAGAGCAGAATTTCAGCCAGGATTCAGCCAGCTACCTTCTTTGGGGATAGATTCTCAGGCAGCCCTCGTGTCAGGATACGCTGCCGTATTGTGTTTACCAGAAGCTTGGTAGTTGTCACTATTGGTATGACTGTAGTATTTGGAGGAGGGCCCCCGCAAGGATCAAGGCCCCATAGCTGTACAAACATACAGCAGACAAGACAGAAAAGGAGGGGGAGGAAGGATGGATTATCACCCCCATTTTAAAATACTGGCTACTGAGACAGACTGACCCAATTATGCTTTTGTTCCTCTGAATGGAGGTTCATGACCCATTTCCCTTATAGCCAAGAGAAAGGTAAGGGAGTGTTGTGATCTGGCTTTAAAGGACCTTAATTTAGGTTGAGAACAGCAGAGCATTACAACGGCCCCTTCCCCCACCCCATTTGTTCACGTTGCTCCTCTTCCACTTTCCCTCCCAGGACAACAAACCCCCAGTTCCACACAGCAACATCCCGTACCTTGAGGTGCCCTTGGAGAAGGGGGATTCAGAGAACAACGCAGATCCGTTCAGAGGTGAGTGACAGCCACAGGCAGGCCCTGTCCTCCCCCCGATCTTCCAAGACTTCTGAACGATGCAAAGGTAGCTCCAGAGAGTTGTTCACCTCCAAACTACTAGCTCCAAACTGGCCCCAGGTTGAGAATGACCAGAAGTTACCACCAGTGAATTTCATGATCCTACTGGGCACTAGGATCATGTTTAGACCCTGCAGGAGGGATTTCCTCTTTTGTGGGGAGGGGGGCAGCTGTTAAGGTAATGGATTTTCTGTTGGAGGTTATGTGTCTGCTGGAGGGGGGTGTGATTGCTGGCAGGGTCGGGTGGTCCATGCTGGAGGGCACGCCTGTCTCAGGGAATCAGATGAGAACTGCTATTGAGTTGCTATTGAGGCTGGCTGAGCCCCATGGGTCATTCTCATCAGGGAGGCCAAGGACTCAATGGACAAAGGATGACAGAGCTTCACGCCTAAGAGGTGGCCTTTGGCTATCAGGGAACACTGGCAGGGATCATGCTGCATCTGGCCAGTGGAAGGAGCCATGAGGCCCCAGTCTAGTTCATCAGCATCTCTCATAGGCAGGGCCTGTGCTGTGAAGTTGCCCGGTGTAGACGTACAAGTCGTTGGTCTCAGCTCAGCCCTCCCATCCATTCTTACTTCAGAGCAATCGCCGCTCTGCTCTCATTTCCATCACAGCTGAATGGATGCAGATCTTGCTGCTGTAGAGAAAATTGCCACTGGGACCCTCTGCGACCAACAGGGGGTTGATCTCTCTAAGGGCAGAAAAACTGTCCAGCCTGGCAGTGCCCATTTTGCAGGGGAAAGAGGGGAGCAATAGAGACCCAGAGCCACTGGTGGCAATACCAGGGTTAACATAAAAACCTTCGCCATCCTGGCATGTGGCTCTGGTGTCCCAGGGTCTTGCTAGTGGGGCCGGAGGGTTATAGAAAATCATGCATGTCCCGCAGAATCTGGCGACCGCTCGATAGATTCCGACTCGGAGCTAGAAGAGGGGGCGGAACTGCCGGCTACAGAGGAGGGAGCCCCAAGGCAGTGGTTGCTAAAGCAAGGAAGCGAGACAAGCACGGACGAGGCTCAATTCTGCGATGACGTGAGCGAGGGGCAGCTGAGCACGACCGGCAGCGTGGGCCAGTCGGACGCGGAGTGCACCTCTTCCCTGCAGCGCAACCCGGCAGGGGAGGAAGAGCAGAGCGACCCAGAAGAGGAATCCGTCTCGGAGACAGAGGGCAAGGCAGGCCAGCAAGAGACACCTCTTTCTGACTGTAACACAAACCAGTCCAACAACACGCTGCTGTCCGAGCGCTGCCGGGGGCACCGGCTGCTGCCCGCCGTTCGGCTACGGGACAGCACGATAGTGGTGAGGTCAGCCAGCGAATGGCAGCCCAGGTTTGTCTAGGCCACCATGCAAAGGCTATGCAATGGACAACGGGCCAGGGGGGCTGGCCAGAGGGGCTACCCGCACGCAGCTACGCAAAGGGCGATGCTGTGCATATTCAGGGAAGGGAGGGGTCAAGCGCAGCCAAGCCTCAGGGAGCTCACAAGGGTTTCGTATGCTAGCTGCAGACAGTAGTCACCTTTATCTAGTGACTGGAGCTTCCATACAAACCCCCTCCGCATGGACATTCTAATCAGCCAGACGACGAGTTTTCCTTGCAGTACCACAGCCTCAGCTAGACAGTAACTATAGCCATAAAGCATATTCCTTTGAGAGGAGTCGTCCAACGAGGGTGGATTTGACCTTGTCCTGGTGGATTGGGAAGGGATCCAGACCCTGGCTGTACCTATGCCATGCTGCTGCAGAGGGTTTAAACTCACCTTTATTTAAATAGCTCTTCAAGAACAGAGATGCAGCTACTGAAGTGTCTAATCCGCTGCAGCGATTACTGAAAACTCCAGCTCCCAGGACTAGGAAGGGACACGAGAGTGCTTTGCGTTTAACTAACCTGTTTTAAGAACGCGCCACCTTCTTTCCCCTCAAGTCTAAGCATACCAGGTGGCAGAATAAATCTCTTATGTTTGTACGGAGTAGATCCCAGAACGCTTTGTACCACGGAGATGCACAGGCTCTGTGGTGGCAGATAGGATGCCACACACAGCAGTGGGAGTGGCATCATGGACAGCTTTTGGGCAATTGCCTACCACAGCCTCGCATAGGTGTCACCCAAGCACCGACAGCCGGTCGGTAGAGGGGGGATAAAGCTTCTAGAGGCAGGTTTGAGAGTAACCAGGTTTGGCAGGAAGGTGGAAGTCACTGCTGTCCTCCTGTATAACTTGGGTGGGGTGGAGTGGGGAACTTCACGTATTGAGGCTGTGTGATGCTCACAAAGGGTACAAACGCTTATGGCTGACTGGCCCAGGCATGCCAACTGCAGCTACAAGTCAACTGCAAGAACCCAGGCACTCCTGTGAAACATGGGACTTAACTAGTGACCTGCCTTTCCACACCCAGCTTATTTATGGTCTTTCTTCCGCTCGGCAAGATCATAGACGACGCTGCGTGAGAGCGGCTGGCTGTTCTCCACTCACTGCTGTGAATTAGCGTGGAGAGTGCCACGGGGCAGGCATGTTTTCCCAGCTGTAATTCTTTTGGATCCTGGGCTCTCTTTAGTCCTTCCTGCAGTTTCTTCTACAGGCAGCCAGTACCCTAACCTGAGCTGTTTTTAAAGGAGCTTGAACTGTAATTTCAACAAAGAAGGGGTGCACAGTGCTCACAGGAAAGGAAATCTATGATGCAGACACAGCCACTCCAACTGTGCCTCTTGCTGAGAGCCAGAAGACTTGCCCTCTCTGCCCCAATCCATAGGACAAGCTGCCTTCAGTGGGACAGGAGTTGCCTGAATTGAGCTACTGGACATTCTAGTGTTGGGGGCTCTTTAGATGACCTGTCAACATGTGCCCAAGGACACAGCTGGCAAAGGAGCTTAAGGGAATAAACAGAACCAGGCATGGTGACTTTAAAGAAACACAGGAGCTCACATTACTGCAGTAGCAGAAGAGACTGAATTTGTAAACAGATTTTAAAACAAAATAGCTGAAAATCACTTCCTCTTATTTCCTACCCCAGCCTGTCCTCAGGCTTCCATGTTCCTCTTGCAACGGTTGAGAGTGTTGCTAAACCCTGTAAGTGAGCAGGGAGAAAGCTGGACAAACAGCACCAGCTCCCCAGCCAGGTTTCACTCACCTGTGCTGGTGCGATCACGTGAAGCAGTCAGGTCACAGTCTCCAGCCCACCCCATGCACATTACTCCCCAACTCTGAGCACCTGCTGGCTGGTGTGGTCAATTGCTGCTTTTGCTAGCCCACAGACTGTCATTTTAAGGGTACAGTCTAGTGAGCTGAGCTCAGGAACCCTTATTTAAACACCGTACCTCTCCACCCTTGAATAAGTCACCTATCTCTCTCTAGAGCAGGTGTACACGTTAGCTACCTCCCAGGCCTGTTGTGAGGGTTATTAGTTTCAGCTGAAAACAAAGCCTGACTCCAGGATTCAGCTTTCTGCATTTTGTATTCAGTCAAAGCATGATGCCTGCCATCCCCCCATGGTGTGCACATAAAGCTCCCACTGTCACTTGTGCATGGGGGGGCATGGACATCAATCACATGGACAAATTCTAGCTAATTGCTTCCCCGGACTCATGCTCCTATCCAACACTGTCTGTCACCCTGTAGCTTAATTTAACAAGGACGGGCTGTTTCTCCTCACCCAAGAGATCCACCAAGGATAGGCGACATTCCGAGGCGATCCAAAAAAAAAACCACAGCAGGAGCGAAAGCTGCTTTCTATGACTTACACACAGACACTCTTCCTCAGCAACTTACGGAGTCATGTGGCTGGGACAAAAACATCTGCCCCTGTTCAGAGAACAGGCTCCACCACTAGAGGTCACTAGGCCCAGCTCACAGATTAAGCAGACAACCTGCCGCAGCTAGAGAGAACCGGTGGCACTCTAAACCCGTTCGGGGTCTAGTACTGTCTCATGCCCAGATCCTCACAGGGGTTTAGGCTCCTGACTTCCACTGATTTTTATGTGAGGAGCCTAAAATACCCCTGGGGCTGTCCCTGCTCGGGAGAAGCCACCAAATCAAGCCGCCCTTGGACATAGTTACTGCTGTACTGAATGGATGGCTACGTCCCAGGTTTGGGATGGTAATTACATATTGCTGCATTATGAAGGGAGGAATAAAGATTCTGCTGTTCAGCCAAATGTTATAGACGCCAGAGCTAAGAGGATCAGTCATCTATGAAGCAAATGGAAAGAACTCAGGAATGCGAGATGCCTGGGACTCTCCAAGCCCCAGTTGAAATAATGGCAGAAGTTTCTTGGTGAGGAAGTACAGCTGCCTGTAGAGGTGGAGGTAACCTGCCTATCTAGAGTCGGCCACAAACTGGTTTGTTTGTACCTGAGCTGGAAGACTGCAAGACTCCTCTCTGCATTGTCCTTCAATACAACGGTTACATTTTACTGCAGCTTGTTTCCATCTTAGGAGAAGGAATCAGAACTGCTTCACTACAGTCCTGTCCTACTGCTAACCCTGGGCAATCTGATGAGTGGGTGTGCCTGGACAGCTGAGTGGGTGCACAAGAGGGAATGGAGTTTCGGTGTTACAAGTGCTGTGTTTGTGCTTAGCATGGTACTATGCAGCCTGTGTTTGTATATTGTTCAGCTGCCAGAGATGGAGCATGTTTATATGAACACGAGTCACAGCCTTGCTGTGCACAGAAGTCTTATGTCATTTGTGCTCTATGCAAATCCACATGCTTCAAAGAAATAAAAATGTGTTCAGATGAGCGTTTCCACGATTCAGAGCAATGTGTTCAAACCTCCCTTTATCAGCTCTGCTGTGCCAAATAGCTAAGGAGAGAAGACTGAGCTGCCATCTTCATGACCAGTCTCAGCTGCACGGTGGCATCTCGGTTCCTGTGCACTACAATGAATATTTACATACAGGAGCAGCAATACAAGGCAGTGCAATCTAGTGCCTAGCATAAGCCTGGGAGTCAGGACTCCTGAGTTTTATGCCCAATTCTGCCACCAACCTGCTGTGTGACCTTTGGGAAGTCACTTCTGTGCCTCAGTTTCTCCAGCTGTAAGAGGCATGCCGCACTGGGGGTAGGAAGAGGCTTATCAATTGGGAGAGAAATACTTTGAATGGGAAAGGCTTTAGAGAAAAGGGTTAAAACAGGATTTGAAATAGCTAGAGCAGAGGTTCTCAAACTGTGGTCCCTGGACCACCAGCAGTCTGCGAGCTCATTCAGGTGGTCCGCGGACAGTTCCCTCTAAGGTGGCTGCACTCAATAGAATGAAGGGCCACCCACCTAATTAGCACAGCTCCACTAACTAGGTGCCTGGACCTTGGAGAAGACGCATATGTAAGGTGAGGTGGTGGCCTGGGGGGGGGGAATAGGAGGTAGGTGGGAGGGGGCAGTGGGGTGAGAAGAGGGGATGGGAGGAATTTGGGATGTGCAGGGCTGCGGCAGCCAGAGAAAGTGGTGACTTTCCCCAGCTCGGGGGCTGCCAGGGAGAGAACCCCCACTCCTTCCCAACCCCAGCTCGGGGGCTGCCGCGACAGGGGAGAGAGGGCACATCCATCGCATTAGAAAGGTAAAACTACTGATATGAAAATATGAGTTGTGTGCTTTTATTTGTAGAACAAAAAAAGTTTTTTTATATAGCGCTTTTATCCAAAGCGCTTTACAATTGTTAGCTAATGGTACAAACAACGTTTGGAAAGATCATTAAGTGGCCCTCTGAGACCCTCAGCAATTTTCAAGTGATCCGCAGGAAAAAAAAAATTTGAGACCCACTGAGCTAGAGGATGAGACCGCATTGGAACACTCCCATGCATACCAGAACTCAACCCACACAGCCATCTGGGAAAGCAGGGTGTTCCACGTCAGTGGTGAGGCTGGGGCAGAGGGAAGCAGCAGTCTGTCTCTATGGGCTTTTTGGAGACTCTGTGTTGAGACGGGCTCCTGTTAACACAGCTTGGATACTTGTCCACGGTCAGGCTCAGCTCAAACAGAGCAGCTGAAGTATTGCCAGAGCCGTGCAGGGAAAGTCCAGCTAGCTAATGAACACAGGCGTGAGAGCTACGGCTCAGGGCACTGGGAGCAGACCTCATCAGAGCGCTTACTGGCTCAAGATGTTCCCAGACAGCAGGCGTCGGGAGGCTCTGCTGCAAGGGAAGTTGGAGAAACACCGCACCAGTGAGAACCTGTGTAGCACAAACTTTTATTAAAATAAAATTCCATTCAAAATTAAATTAAATAGCCCATGGCATTGAGCTTCAGTCCAGTCAGGAGGCCTCCAGGGAGAGAGAGAGGTCAGTGAGTGCAAAGGAAGAGCTAACTCCCTGCAATAGGGATATAACTTGAAATCAGATTCAAGGATCTGGATTTAAGAGGACAGCCAACCCATAGAGCCGACAGGGCGTAGATCAGATAACACAGGACTCCTCTTCCATACCTGGAAGAAAGAGAATCTGGAATTTCTCTCAAGAGAAAGATCATCTTTTAGTTCGGACACATCATCTAACCCCTGCACTTCCACCAAGCTGCCGCACAGACTCTGTCCTGCACCAAGAGCTTCACATCCAGCCCCACCTCAAACTGAAGCCACCCTCTGACTTCACAATGGCAAATGCCCTTTCACTAACCAGATGTGGAACATATTTTGCAAGGAGAGGTTTATAACGAGCATGCACATTAGGTCCCATTTTTACTCCATCCTTCAATACACTGCAGGGAACTCTCCTCCAGGGCCCATTTGGAGTTTTGTCCAGTTCAGCTGAAAACATCTCCACTTTATAAGTGCTAATGTGAAGTGAAGTTACAGCATTCATTTCTGACACCGTTCAACCATATCACAGCTAGGCACTCCCATCAGAGAGATGCCGCAACGTTACCTGATGTACAGCACAGACTACTGAACCAGTCGGTAGGTGATGTATCGCCCTGCAGTCTCACTAGGTCTTATGATCTTGACCACCTGCAAAGGCAACAAGAACAGTTTACAAGCAATGAAAAGCAGCTCTGAATTTCACCTGCCAGGGCTCCCCGCTACAGGGATTGGCTCAGGTGCCCAATGAAGAGGCAGCAGCGTTCAGCCTCTGGAGAGGAGGGTGTAGAGTGCTTGATCCTCAGCACTGAGGGAGGAAACCAGTCAGACAGCTGCCCATAGCTAGGGGACAAGTACAATGTGCTTGGCATGACATGCAGGGGACAGATTACATAGATGTGCTTGTGAAGCATGAATGAGTGAGTTTAATCAGCCACTCCACACCAACACCAAGGGTGTAAAGCCCAGCAGGTGATCTAAAAAGCGATCCTTGACCCCCAGCAATGCTCCATGTGAGGGTGCTGTACCATTTACACAGTGCAGGGATGGCTGGGGACAGCTCACCCAGATTAGGGTAGAAATGCAGAAGCTCTGAAAGAAGCTTTGTAAGTGACAAGGGGGAGGAAAACACACTGAATCAGAACCCTGCCACAGCTCTCTATCGGAGGGGGTTCTTATGATGCGCACCAGCATAGCACCCTTTAGTAGAGAAAGGGGTGACATCTGAATAGCACAAAATCAGCTCCCATCCCAAAGGCAATGAAGATTCCTCATTCAGGTGCAAGTTCTCCTGGGGAGGAAATTCTTTCTGGATGAGGGACCCGCAGAGCTACCTGAAGACCCAATCCTGGGTGTGTAACACCCAAGGAACTCGATAAGAACCGTGCCCCAAAACTCTTAACATAACAGGTAGGAGGAGGTATGGAGGGCCAAATCCTGCAGTCACTCTGTGCAGCTTCCACCACCCACACTGGGGGTTATACATGAAGGAGGCAGGGACCCCATATTTGGTACTAGTTATGAGACCCATGGTGCTTATTTATAGACCATCAGGCCTTAAAGACAGAGCTTTCAAGAGGCTCTGTCTCGATGCTCTTCCCCAGGAGCTACCTCTGTCACCCTGCTTTGCTCCTTACCTGCCCACGCTTTATTCCGAAGTATCTGGCCACGGGATCTCCAGCCTGTATCCTGGGGAGCTGGTTCTCTCTCAGTTTGCTGGGAAACACAGTGAAGGAAAACCTGCCACCAGAAGGGTTATCATCCAGCCCTGCTTTATCCCAGCAGGGGGCAAGGCCAACAGAGCACATAACCACCTGTTGTACCCATCAGAGGTCTAGCCATTTCCAGCACAAAGTGAGTGAATCACTTCCATGCTGGTAGGGGAGGGACTGACATTTGGAGCAAACGAAAGGATACTATCTGGCTAGTAATTCAGTTACTTCTTCCTTTGTCATGACCACATGCTCTGGAACCAACTGTAAACACAAAAGCGGAGTCAGATCTAGGCAAGCTGAGATCAGAAAGGAGGAGAGAACAGTTACTTCCTGTGATGACGAGGGCTTGTACACAGTGGCAAGGGAGACTAGAATGGCTATCTGTGGCCCACCACCCAGCAACACAAAATACACAGGAAAAGAATTTCAAGGGGTTGATTTACATCCAGATAGTCCAGAGTAAAAGCCAACTATCCTGCACTCACTTCATGCTCCCCAAGCATCCAACTCACCTCATGCTCTGTGATGTTGATCAGCAGCTCCTGCTGCAGGAATTGTTCCAGGATGTATTTGGGAGCCATGTCCACCAATGACTGAAAGAAAAACCAAAAGGATTTTAAACTTCAGCATAGAAGAAGGGGCCCCAGCACACATTAGTCCAACATGATCCTGCCTAGTCAGAACTGAACATTAATGAGCACCAAACACTACAGCCAGTATATTACCCACAGTAACATCAATCATATCTATACATAAATCAAGGGGAGAGTGGATCTCTTAGCCAAGATGCTAAATACACAATCACCTCTTCCTTTCTTTCCAACATCCCCTTAGCTCACTTCTCCTGCCCCCGTCGCTCTTTGCCCATCGCTCAAGCATACCATTCCCTTCCTTCATCAAGTCTGAGGCCTTATTTCTCCATCCTTGTTTACTCTTACTCCCAATAACTCCAGCTTGCTTTTCTTCACCACAATCTCTTCCCCTTTTGTAAACTACTCTTAGTCTTGTCCACCCAAGACTATAACATCTTTGGTGCAAGGAATGTGTCTTACTCTCTCGTGCCCATTGCTGTAGTATATAGGTACTAATAATTCATCAACAAAAAACTTTTTTGCGAGGGTAACCTTAAACTCTGTTAACACTTTAAATGTAGCTAAACTCAGTCCCCTGAAAGCCAGGTAAGAGTTCTGGTCGTGTTGCACAGCTGTGTGTGCAGGTAGCTCCTATTGAGAACACATGACCTAAACAAGTTCTGCCTTAGCAGATGGGTGTTAAGACTGTCCTACAATGCTCATGTGCCCTATTACCTGCGGGTTCTGCACTGTCTGCAAGTGCACACGTGTGATGGGCATGGTCACGCATTGTTTTAAAGAGAACAAAGTTAAGCAAAAAGTTTAATCTACAGGGCACGGACCACTGTGCATTTGGTACCAAAAAACCCCAGAGGCATACAAGTGTGCATCCTATGAACTCTCAGTCCCCATCTTATAAACTCCCAACCAGCCCTCACGCAGGATCACCACCTACCTGCTTCGCTGAGGGAGTCATGCCCTGCTGCACCACAATCAAAGCTCTGGTGATGTTCTCTTCCTGCATTCTCTGGCAGTACATCTTGATTGTCTTTATCCCAACCTTGGGCTCCTCTGAGGAACAAATAAGCCACATGATCCAACTCCTGGTTGTCATGAAAGATCTACATTTTATTTATCTTTATTCTGCAGCTGGTCTGCAGAATAATACT